TATGGCCTGAGTTTCATCCCCAGCCAGGGAGCTAACCCACATATGGTGCAGCAAAGCTCTCCCATCTTGCCAGCTGCTCCCGTTAGCAGTGTGTTTTAGTAAAGTTGCCTGTTCTGCTCCCCACTCAGTCTCTGGTCAATCCTCTCACCCCCTGCACCTCTGGTCTACACCCCAGTTCCTCAACGCCAAAAAAAAAAAAAAAAAAAAAAAGTGTCAGGGCCTCCCTGGTGGCGCAAGGGGTTAAGATGCAACTTATGAAGCTCTCTGCAACCACTGCAGCAAGAGTTCAATCCCCAGCCAGGGAGCCGCCCACATGGCGCAGCAGACCTCTCCTGTCTCACCAGCTACCCCCCTCAGCAGTGTATTTAACTCAGTCTGCCTGTTCTGTTCCCCACTCTGTTTCTGGTGAATTCCCCCCACACACACCTCTGGCCCATACCCCAGTTCTTGTATGCATGAATAAATCTTAAAAAAAAAAAAAGTGTCACCACAAAGTATCTGATGAGAAAACAGGTAATGCAATATGTTGAAAACTAAACACTGCAACAAGATTTCAGGTGTAGTTACAGTATATCGGAATGATGTAAAGATATTTCAAGGGTTTTAGAAACTCACAGTCACATAAGAAGAAATACACTTCATTCAATTCCAGAAAAGAATGACAGGCTCTCTGAACTCCCTGCTCAATGTTCTTGCCACTGCATCATTTCGCCAGGCTTTTGTATTCTCCTGATAGTTCCTATTTTTGAAATTGGTACCCAAGTCTTTTTAAGGTAAAATATCACATTATTGTAGTGTTTATATACTATAGTCACATATTCTACTTAACCTAGAATTTATTTTTCTTCACTGAGGTAACAGTGGTATAGGTTCACACTTCCTCAGACATATGTTTGCACACTGACCCCATCAAAGCATCCATAGTACTTTACACGAGGCCACTTTGTTCCTCCACACCTACTCCTGCTCTAGAAGCCTCAATTCTGCAATTATATTTCTAGGGTTTACTTTGGTTTAGTCTTGTCAGTTGCTTTGTTTTGTTTTCTATTTCACAAGTGAAATCCTTTTTCATTCTTCTCCTTTCAACTATTTCAATTAGCATCATCCTCTCCAGTTCCATCCATGCTGTTGCAAATAGCAACAGTTCATTTTTTTTATAGCTGAGCAGTATTCCATTGTGTGTGTGTGTGTGTGTGTGTGTATACCACCTATATACCATATATATACCACACCACATCTTAATCCACTGATATGTGGATGGGACTTTAGGTTGTTTCTCTTAACTTGGCTATTATAAATAGTGCTGCAATGAAGATAGCAGTGCATGTATCCCTTCAATTTAGTGTTTTTGCATGTTTTGTGTAAATACCTAGAGTGGAACTATGGATCATATGGTAGACCTATTATTAACATCCTAAGGAACCTCATTACTTGTACTATAGTCAATTACATGCAAAACCATGCTACCATTATTAATGGTTTCCTATCTCTTTTGTTATGTGTCACTAGACAATTTGTGAGTATTTTGTCTCTAACCCCATTTTCTCCATAAGCCTCAGGGTTTTTACCATGCAGTGATTTTGAACTATTTTATATCATGTTATAGCAGAACTGACTATGTTATTTATTGTCTGGGGAACAAGTAGTAAATGACAAAGATTATTTTTTCAAAGATTGCAGATGGACAAGCTTCCTGCAAGTCTGCTTAGCCATTAATCAAGGTCAGAGAAAAGTCAGTGTCTGCACACTCCCTCCTGAAGAGCTGTTTTTTCCCAAGGTTCACTCTTTGACTTGGTAGCTCCCAACTCACATACCAGACTTGGAGTTAGAAGGACATCATTCACCTTGAAACAGTAACCAAAATTCAGACTTGTCAAGAAATAAAGAGCCACTAAATATATCTACTAAATTCAAACTTTCATTCTGCCAGAAAATCCTGTCATGTACCACTATAAAAATGTCAACTGTTCAATAATGGGATGTTCAACAGATGTTCAATACCTACTCTGACAGAACAGGCAGAAAAAAATTACTTTTGCAATATAGTTTTAACAGTGCAATAGAAACCACAGAGCCTTTATACTCATTCCTGACTCGATAGACTCAGAGGTTTAAGGAGGAACGTGAAATAAAGGAAGTCTTGTTTATTTCCCAATTTCCATGTACACTAGAAATAGGAGAGAGATCAAATCATTTATCACTGAAACCAACCAAGATTTGGTGAAAATCTTTTCACTGCCTACTAAAGGGCAGATCAAGTAATGCTGCCTTTTAGCATGCTCAAGAGGGACAGAGAATGTTATTTTTGCATTCTGACACCAGACTGACACCAGAAGTAACAAACATAAATGTAGTAAGTACCAGATAAAGTTATTTGGCTCTAGTCACACTCCTAGCACCGGTTCTTAAAGAATTACAATTTAATTATTTTTTAATAATTGATATTTTTCTTTACATATATATACACATATGTTTACACACATTTACACATATATATGCCAAAGAAAAGTATAAATAAAACACTAAAATAGTAACAATGGATTAATATTTAGGTAATGAGATTACAGATATTTTTTCTTATTGACAGTACCCATTATTTCACACAATAAATTTATATGATTTTTATCACCAGAGGAAAACAAGTATATTTTAAAACAGTTAACTGAAAGAAATAACTCCCTGATAGTAAATTATGTAGAGTTCACAGTAAGACATCAAATAACTCTACTTTCCAAAGGTTACGTAAAGGTAAGTGGACTGGATTTGGAGGACACATTGCCCACTACACAGGAAAATCTAAAGAGAACTCTGCAGGAAAACTCTCAACTACAGGAAGGGTTACGAGCACACTGACAGACACTTCACATGCAGCTGATATCTCTGACTTGTTTGTCCCAGTTCTTATCAACCAGCATTTTGGTGACTCCTATAGATATTCTGAGAAAGCTTCACCTTTTTGGGTCAAGTTATAGTCACTTAACCAAATTCAACAATGGTTGGTAGCAGAGAATATGGAAATATGATTTACCCAGAGATGACATCACTGACCAGACCCTAAGAAATGTGCAGTAGCCAACTGCAGATTTCAGAATCAGTTTTCTCTCAAATTCACTATCCCTATAATGATGAATATTCATTTCTCCAGTCAAAAAGCCTGTAGAGGGTACCTGCTAGATTGAAAGCACTAGCACAGACGTCATGGTAAATACAAAAGAAATAAGGTGTACCCATTCTCTGCATAGCATTCACAATCTGATGGGGAAATATATGATATGCTTATCAGAATTATGTAAGACAACATAATTAAATGGCTAAATGAGTTGTACAGATAAATGATTAAAGCATGAAAAGGAATTACTGCTCACTATGGAATTAAGGCTTCAGAGAGGAGAATTTTGATGGTATACTAAGGGACACACAAGCAGTTCAGGCACAGTCGAGATAAGCAGTCATGAGTCTGGATGGACTGGAATAAAAATGAGATTAAGGAACAATAAAAGGAAGGAGAGATTCAGGCAGATTCTAAATCCAAGTTGTTTTGTTGTTTATTTATTTTTTTTAAAAACCTCTAGTCATCTGATATACCATTATCCGATTAAAAATGTTTGTGGGAAAATCTGTATACCAGAAAATTTGCTAAAAATGACTGAGAGATAGAATATTAATCTCATAATATGCTTCCAAAGCAGTTATCATTATTCCCATTTTATAAATAGAAACTGAAATTAGTTAGACAGAGAAATTTGCCCAAAGTCACCAAGAAAAGCAAGGAGCTGGGATTTGAACTTAGGCCTATACTTGATGCCAATGTCCGTGCTTTTTCACAGTCCTGTGCTACTTCTTCTTAGAACTTAGCTCTGACAACATCACTATAAACTGTTTTCCCCCATCACAGTGTATTCCCCCACCCTTTTGACTACGCAGTGTCCCCATGGTGATCGCTGTATATGGAAGTCTGCTCTCTGCTAGCAGAGAATCTGCAGCCAAAATGAAAACCACTACTGACAGTATTCCCTGCCCAGGGGCATTTTCATTGTTAAAGGAATCAGAGGCTTAACTTAGAAGGAAGCTGTAATATAAACCATTCAGAGGAACACATATCTTACCTTCACAGGGGGCAAGGCCCAGTGTGTATCTTATGATAATCATATTCATAGCTTATAGTTAAAGCTTTCAGGAAGAATCCTACTCTGAGGGTCTCAGCCCTAAGGGTCTCTATTAAAGTCTAACTGGCCCCAATCCGAGAGACGAAAGGCCAGATGTGGCTGCAGGTTTGCTTCCAATGAAACTAGAAGTCCTGGCATTTCACACTTTCAGCATATGACATAGGAACACCTAAATGAAATTTATTTGACATTTAAACTGTTAAAAATTTCTTGCCCCCAAATGTGCTTTCTAATAATTCTATAAACTTATCTTTTACTGTTTCTGGGAACCAGAAGTATTATCTTTATTGCTCTCACCTTTCCCACAAAAATCTTGCAGGTATCAAATGGCAAAAGTGTCATCTTTCAAAGGAACTGTAATAAAATCCGCATGGGATCTCAGAGTGCGTCAAGAGAAGTGGGTAGAAGAGCACGGCTCTGACAGAGATTGCTCCAGGGACTTGCTATGAAATTAGCCTTTGCTGTCTATTTGCTAAAATCAGACTATACTAATAGCTAGGTCAAAGGTCTACCTGATAACTTGAAATTTCCCACCAAGTATTCTAATGGGGCAAGGAATAAAAGTTTCAGGATGTCTTTAAAAATGATGATTCAAATTCAACATGATAGAATTTGTAGCCCAGTTTAGAAAATATGTTGAATTATATACTTTACATAGAAAAACAGAGGAGGTAACTTGAAAAGGAGAGTTGATTCTTTCTCAATAAAAGTTGCTATATTACTCACCCAAATCACTCTCTAAAAAATTCCCATTTCATCAACACTAATATATATGTAACCAATTTTAGGCCTAGAATTCCTTTCAAAGAAGAAGAAGGAGAATGTTGCCCTTACATATCTGGATGGCTCTTCTACATTCTGGTCATTCATGTCAGTAGGAACCATCCGGGTAGCCAGTGGTCCCTCCGCAAAAGGTTTTGGTAGCTGGCCCCTGAACTCTGAAGGAATGAATTGAAGCTGCCAACTGTCAGAAACAAAATAAAAAGAGTAAGAAAAACACCGGGCTCAGATTGCTAAATGTACTTGAAATAAACAAGCCAAAAAAATTTCATGTGAAAAACATTTCACTTGGAGAAAAAAAATAATTTCTGTTAAAACTTCAACCAGGGAGAAGAGAGGTAGAGGTCACAATTCAGTCCAAAATCATTGAGAAATGTTCAACCCATTTCACCAACTTTCAGCCGTGAAATTTGCAACCAAATGGTCATCACAAACAACCAGTGAAGCTTTAAGGTTTATTGCCAATTACCACATGATCAAACAGACTTGTCAAAATCAAAGCAAAGGCATCAGGTATACAGAGAAAAACAGTGAAATGTAAGAACACACTATGGGAGAAATACTTTGTTTCTAAGTAGTCCTCTAAAGGATCTTTAGCTATGAAACGATTTCGAATATAAAAGGTAATGGCTAAAGTTAACGCTTTAAAAGAAAAAAAAAGTTTAATTTTATTATCAATGACTGATCTTATGGCACATAAGATACCACCAGCAAGTTACTGAAGCCAGTCCACGAATGGAGCATCATGACTCATCTTAAGCTGACTTCCCTTTTCCCTAAATAGGCCTCTTCTCTAAATGGCGTAAGCAAATACTAGGAACTTCATGTCTGTGCTATCACATCCACCAACAGACAGCATAAGGAAAGTGGGACAGATGTCTTAATCACAGAATTCCCCAGGGTCCATACATTGATGGAGAACTTTTTCTTTTGTTGGATGATAAATGTTTCTTCTCTAAAAACGCTCTTCCAGCTAGAGTTCCTAGGCCACATTAAGAAGTGGATTAATATCAGATCATTAGAGAAGTTTTAAATATGGATCCCCAGGAAGGGCCAATAGCAGGAGTCTAGGGCTCAGAGTGTTTTTGGAAATCCCCAGATCTCTATGCTTAGGGGCAGAGCAGGGCGCATAACCAGCCACTGCACCCAGTCTGTTGGACACAACGCTGATGCCGCAGTCCTCTGGGATGGCAAATTGTTCAATAATTTTTGAAGAAAACCCCCCAATGAAAGAAAAATTAAGAAGACATTGCCATCAGATTGCTATTTTTACTCCTTGATTTTAAACTCTGGGAATGAAAGGACAACTTACTTATCTGGCAGAAGGAAGCTGCTGGGAAATCGATACCACTCTTTGCCTACACAGACATTCACAGGTCTGCCTTCTGGGACAGTGTGGATGGCTGGATCTGTAGCGATTCGGTAAAATTCTGGATACAAATCAAGGGGTCCATGATATCCTGGAAAGGAGAAAGGTTTGTGAAAGCCAAAGATAGGCAAGATGAGCTTCTGACCTTTAATTATAACGTACGTTAATGTCCCCTGTAACCCATGTGAAATTTGAGTGTGACAGTCCATAGCAACTCCAGCAGGTAGCCCACTCTATTGGTAGAAGATGTCTCCTGAAGATATTTACAGTAGAGGCCTTATTTTGCCAAAAGTAATTTGTTGCTTGCTCTTCTCTACACCCTTCCACCTTCTTTATTTCTTAACTTCATTTTGCACATATTTTGATATGCTGGATCCCATTGTTGTGTCACAAATTAGCAGGATACTGGGTTTAAGATTTCAATTCATCTTCAAAATTAAAAGGTACCCAGAAAAAGGGGGAGGGAATCAACTAAGAATAAAAAAATAGAGTTAATCACATTAAAAAGTATTTTCAATCTTCTCTTCAATCTTAAGGTACAGAAAATACATCCCAGTCATAATATTAAATCTACAAGTTCTCCCTATATTAAAGTTTTCCTTCTACTGTAAGTTGAACTGTATTAAATAATTGGGCATCAAGTAAAACCCAAGATGAAATGTCTCATAAGTATAGATGCGTTAAGAACCAAGTCTCAGGACATCTACCTCTGAATAGTGCCACAGATCGAGAAAAGGATAGGAGTCCAAAAAGGCAAACTGTTCCCAATGCCAGCCAATTAGATGTCACAGTATAATGCTCCAGGCGGTATTGTTGAAACACGAAGTGGTAACATTTCTAGAAGGAAAGAAAATGTACTGAAAAAAGAAATACACCTTGCACAATACACAGAACCACAAGACATCACAGTAACACCAAGAGGAAAGGAGGAGCAGAAGAGGGTCTATCAAGGCTCTGAGCATTTGCAAACACTGAGTGAGGGACCCATTTCAAATTCTAAGCTTACAGCAAACTCCGTAAAACCATCTGTAGGTCGGCCTAGCCAGCAGGATTGCCATGAATGCTCTCACTAGCAACACAGGAAAATTATTTGCGTATTCTCCTAGTGTTTAAAGTCCTAATTTAGGGCCTCCCCGGTGGCGCAGCGGTTGAGCCCTGGGTTGCAAAGCTGCCCGCAGCCTCTGCGGCGCCGGTTCGATCCCCGGCCTACGGGTGAGGGTACCACATGGCGCAACAGACCTCTCCTGATGCCCGCTGCTCCCCTCAGCAGTGTATTTCGTCGGTCTGCCTGTTCTGTTCCCCACTCTAGCTCTGGTGAGTTCTCTCACCCTCCCACATTTCTGACTGTACCCAGTGCTTGTATAGATAAATAAATCTTAAAAAATAAAATAAAATAAATTAAAAGAATAAATAAAATAAAGTTCTAATGTAAAAGAAACACTTTAAAAAGTTGTTTTGGTAGTTTTCTTTGATATATGAAGTATCTCATTCAATAAATCTTTCCTTACTGATAAGTTTTCATCTAAGTGTTTAGTATCAACAAATGGTCTCTTGACTAAACAAGCAGGAAAAAGAATTCTTCTCACAGGACATTAGGAAAATGCTGTCAGTAATCTCCAAACTACTTTACAAATTAGATAAATATTATTACAATATATACACTGTGCATGGGTTCTGCTCTCTTAGAGTACTTTCCCATTAGATTTCTTTCCTTCCTTCCTTTCCAATAGATAAGAATTACTTTTGGAAGTAATTTTGCAATATATGACAAAAACCATAAATATGTATGAACTTCTTTCATATTTCTGACAATCTGACCTAAAGAAAATATCCAAATATGTAAACAAAGATATTTATTCTAGCTTTATTTATAATACTGAAAAAAGAATACAAGCTAAATTCTAACAAATTATAGCTAATCATTATATTATATATAATCAATTCAATATATTTCTTAACAGTGTTGTACATTAAATTCAGAACATTATGTTGCTATTAAAATGATGGATATAGGGCCTCCCCTGGTGGCACAGCGGTTGAGTGCTGGGCCGCAAAGCTGCCCGCAGCCTCTGCAGTGCCAGTTCGGTCCCCGGTCGCTGGCGAGGGTCCCACATGGCACGCAGACCTCTCCTGCAGCCCGCTGCTCCCCTCAGCAGTGTACTTCGTCAGTCTGCCTGTTCTGTTCCTTGCTCTGGCTCTGGTGAATTTTCTCACCCTCCCATGCTTCTGACTGTACCCAGTGCATGTATAAATAAATAAATAAATAAATAAATAAATCTTTTAAAAAAAAAAATGATGGATACAGATATGGCAACATAAAGAATATTATGATATAGTATTATAAGAGATATAAAGTCATAGATTACAGCTGTAATCAACTTTGATATTTGATAGGCAAAAAATCTGGAAGATGGGTTTTGTTAGAGGGACTAATTTTTCTTTTTACCACTTCCCAAATTATATGCAATGAAGTTCAATTACTATTACAATTTAATGAGGAACACTTTTTTTTTTTTAAGATTTATTTATTTATTTTTACAAGCACTGGGTACAATCAGAAGCGCGGGAGGGTGAGAGAATTCTCCAGAGCCAGAGTGGGTAGCAGAGCAGGCAGAAGGACCGAAGTACACTGCTGAGGGGAGCAGCGGGCAGCAGGAGAGGTCTGTGCGCCATGTGGGACCCTCCTCCGGTGGCCGGGGAGCAGCCGGGGATCGAACCAGCGCCGCAGGGGCTGTGGGCAGCTTCGCAACCCAGCGCTCAACCTCTGCGCCGCCGGGGAGGCCCAATTACTATTACAATTTAAATTGTTTTTTTTTTAAAAACTATTATCCTAACATCAAGGAGTCTTAAAAATACTATGTTAAATGAAAGAAGTCATTCACAAAGACCACTTGTTTATGATTCCATTCATATGACATGGCTAGAACAGGCAAATCTACAGAGACAGAAAGTAGATTAGTGCTGGCTTCCAGCTGGGAAGATACCGGAAAGGGGGTGACAAAAGCTAAAGGATATAGAGTTTTCAAAGTGATGAAAAAGTTTTAAAATTGACTGTCCATATCTATGGACATATCTGTGGTACTGGCTGTCCATATCTGTCAATACACAAAAAACCACCAAGTTATACACCTTAAATGGGTGAACTGCACAGTTTGTGAATTATATCTCCATAAATCTGTTAAGGAAAAATCCTATCACCCTAATTCTTTTTTGCCAACTGCAAGTGGTCACAGAGGTCAAGAAAGAGTTTGTATGGAGGCTTCTAAGGCCATAAATACATGGATATTCAAGATCAACTTTAACAGGGAATGGACAGGTTCTAAGCTAGGATTACAAACTGCCCCATAGAGCTAACTACCTGATATTACCCCAAACACCTGAGCAAGTTTTATTCTGCTCTCATAGTTGAAGAGCAGACTTCCCATTAGCCACTCTGTAGTAGGCTCAAATAATGACATAAACCTCTTTCATAGGAACTGGATTCTTGTTGGCAAGAGACACAAAGTAACACAAATTAACACTGTAAATAGGTAATTAGCAAATATGAATATAATCAACAGCTAAGCAATAGAAAAAAGTTTTAATAATATGACCTGAATAGGGTTTTAATGTATGGGTAAAATCTCTTAGGAGGAAACATTCTGTAATTTGCCTTTAAACCCAGTCAGCAATTTAAAAAGTGAAACAGAATAAAGCAGATATACATTTCTGCTTTATTGCTGAAACTCACCTGAAGTGCAGAAAGGGCCACAGCACCACAGAGACATATAAGTGGATAGACAGGGAAAAGAAATCTCTCCTCTTTGTGAGGCTGGATGAAGAAAATCACAAACCAAATATACATTGGGGCCAAAGTAAGCCAATATGGGTGGCCTAAATTCTGGACTGCAAGACAGAAAAATATCCACTTTTCACCATATTAGAACAAAACAACATCTTTAGTTTCAATGTTCTCTTACTTTCAAACTTGGGAGTATGTCTTAGACACCCCTTTTAAAATGTTTCAACTCTTTGTATTCAGTTTCTCTAATGTAATAAAGGAGTTAAGCAGAAAGAGGTAGAGCCCCTTTAGCTCTCCCAAGAGATTCAATACTCGAAGAGAGACACAAGTTTTCCCCAGTATTCAAAAGCAGAACATTTCTATTTGGTGTGATTTTGTAGGTTATATTTGGGGTCTGGGAATGCAAAAAATACTCAATATAAACTAATCATTATAGCATTCCCAGACCCCAAAAATAACTTACCAAATCATGTCAACTAGAAAGATTCTACTTTTATATAGCAGGGAAACCTATACTAGATTTGGCTAGAACACAAATGAAAAAAATTAGGGGACTGGAAACAGAGTTTAATAATTTCTACTACTGATGAAGATAAAAAACCCTTCTCTTCCAATGAGTTCTGTCACTAAGACTAAGGAGTCCTAAGATTAACCAAAAGCATAACATAAACTCACTTCTTCATTTTGAATTGCTATGTTGTTTAGCATATTAATCTTCTTTCTTATATGCCAACTAGTCTGTTCAAATACCTATAGATCAAAGGAAAGCAACAAAGTTGAATTCTCAACCCATTACTGGTTTTTGTTAAGCCACAAATGACAGTTTGCTTCAAAGCAAATATAAAAACACTTTTGAAGCAAGGTTAGTGTTTAAGTTTTTTTTTCCTTTTCCGTAATACCCATCCACTCTGAATCCCAAATTGGAACCAAAATGTACTTAAAGCATGTGAAAGAATTAAAGGAATTTAATGAACACTAATATTCAAGCACCTGCTGGAAAGTTCCTGTGGTTAGGTACATGAGCACATAGTGATAAGCCTGCACCCCACAGAGAAGACCTCTCCTACTGTGCTTCTGTTAGTGATAATGAGCAGCATACAAATCACTGGCAAGGGTAGATAGACAGCACCCCCTGGTGTCCACTATGTCTACAAAGAGCAAGTCTGGATGAAAAGATCAAGACCCTCCTCAGCAACACCTAATTGAGCATTCCTAAGTTATCTTTGCAGATAGGGATAAAAATGCTTGCACTGCAACAACAACTTATTTTTAAAACTTTCCACCCTAAGATTTTATTGTGATTATTTTGGGGCTATGATTTAGGATTTATAACTCTTGAGAAAATACTTTAACTTGGAATTTTCTTAATTATAAGAAAATAAATCTATCTTCTACAAGTTTTTTTCTCTTCTGTATCTTAGGCTAACGCATTTTTTAAATGTGACCTAAATTTTGATATGTCCTCCATAAAATGTACAAAATCATAACCATAGTTTTACATAAGATCATGGGCAATTTCTTTACTGTTTCTTTACATAGTCTCTATTTTATCTTTCATAAAAATTATTGTTTCCATTGTAAAACATACATAAATTTTTAAAAAGAAAGCAGAAAGCATTCATTTTCTTACTAGGTGGACACGTGTATATTACACATTTTAAAACCAAAATTGTATATTCCTACTGTCAAGAACAGTATTTCCAAATTTTCACAAGCACATAATTTTTAGAGTCAGAAAAAAAATTACTTTAGAAAAAAAAAAAAGTGATCCTGATGAAATATAAGGGACGGAGAAGTAAGTTAACACCTCAAGGGAGCAGACAACTGAATCTAAATACAGAACACTATCCAAGATGAAATGTCCTGGTTTCCTTACGACATCCTCAAGAGAAAAAGGTGGGAGGGTATCTCTTAAAAAACTTAAACAAAACATCATAATGGCATTACGATTATATTACAACAAACCAAAGGCAACTCTGAAGACTGCTTTATTCTAATATTATAAAACTGTGAGCTTTTTATAAACCATTAATAGTAGAAAAGCAGAATGGGGCAAGAGTCATATGGCATCCAAATCAGACTGAAAGTCTGAAATTCAACCTCTTTCCCAAGTTCATAGAATTATGTGCTCACATCTGATGAACAGAAACTATGGTCCCTAGATGTCCAGAGCCATCAAAATTTGAGAAACTGACTGTGCCACACACAATCAAAATAACTGGCAGGACAAACCTTGCACAATGAGGTAAACATGGAAGAAAATGGAACTAAGTATTACACTTCTTAGGAAGTCCAAAGCTTCTCTCACTTCAGTATCAAATTTGGGGGAATTCCTAGAATGGTTTATTTTCTAATTTTTTATGGTAGTAATTTTCCAGAGAATGTTTGCCTTCAACATTGATCATCTTAAGCAATTTGCCACATGAACACATTTCTTTAAAAAAAATAAAAAAGAAGAAGGCCTGAATAGGCTTATCTCCTGAGATTTTAAAAATGTTTTTGTTGGGACCTCCCTGGTGGTGCAAGGGGTTAAGCGTCAGCACTAGGAAGCAATTGCAGCTACTGCCATTAGATCCCTTGCCAGGCGCTGCAGACCTCTCCTGACTCCCCGCTGCTCCCCACAGCAGTGTATTTCAGTAGATCCTACTGTTCTGCTCCCCACTCTGTCTTTGGTGAATCCTCTCATCCCCCTGCACCTCTGGCCTATATACCCCAGCTCTTGTATGCATAAATAAATAAATCTTTTTAAAAAATAAAAATGTTTTTGTCTACCCCAGCGATTATATAAATTACATTCATCTTCTCATTTGAAGGGGTATAAAACTCCTCCTTTTGTCAGTTTAACTTGTAATTATTAACCAAATCTTCACATAGGTTTAAGCTACAAATACAGATGAAAATTTAATAAGCTGCTATTTTTCATGGGAAGAAAATGGAGAATAAAATCAGTAAGATTCTCTTTCACTTTTTTGGTATATGCTATTACTTGTTTTTTGCTCCCAATAAACCTACCACCCTTCATGCCACTCACCATGAAATCTCTGCAGTAGGTGTTCCATAAGAGAAGTCAGAGGTAAGACCAAGAGAGCCAAAGCAAAGGCAACATTGAAATTCAAAAATCCATTAATTAAATAGAAATACCAGGGCTCTGTACCTGAGGGACACAAAAAGATAAGGAATCATTAGTCTAGGCCTTCAATACCTATTACAGTGTTTGACTCATAAAGTTCTTTGTTCAAGCAGCCTTGATCCAACAACTCAAGTGAATGAGTCTATAAGCTCACTGGTTCCATGTTCAACACAAAAGGGAAGCACAGGATCAGAAGAAGGGAATCAAGTTTCAAACATTTCAACTGTTTTTCTTCATCTTAGCACTTTTTTTTTTTTTTTAAATATTTATTTATTTATTTATTCAAGCACTGGGTACAGTCAGAAGCGCGGGAGGGTGAGAGAATTCACCAGAGCCAGAGTGGAGAGCAGAGCAGACAGAAGGGCCGAAGTACACTGCTGAGGGGAGCAGCGGGCAGCAGGAGAGGTCTGCGCGCCATGTGGGACCCTCCTCTGGTTGCTGGGGAGCAGCTAGGGATCGAACCGGTGCTGCAGAGGCTGGGGGCAGCTTCGCAACCCAGAGCTCAACCGCTGCGCCACCGGGGAGGCCCCATCTTAGCACTTTTTAATGAAAGTTTATGCCTGTCTCTTCTCAATTGTTTCATCTCTGCATTTGTCATTTTCCTTTTCTAGTAGTGAGAATCGGCTTTGCCTTCTAAGATCTTTTTGTGATCTTTGTCCAGTTTTAGTCTCTAGCAATATCCACATTGTGGGGGTGAATGCCCATGCAGACACCTGTGCATTCACTTCTGCTGCACTCACTCAATGTACATGACGTATTTCTTCCTGTAAACCTTTGCCAACTTGCTGCTCCTTGTAGAATCCTCGCACAACCCGAACATTGTATTTCCCTCCCAGCAATTTGGGATGGAATTGTAGGATCCCACATCCCACGAATGTGGGAAGGTGCACTGAAATGCCTTTTACAGTTCTTGTTTCCATCAGAAGTCACAAAGGGGACTGAACATTTTGGCCACTGGTCCTTCAGCAATGGCCAGCTATTTAGCTGTATTGCTATACTGACCACTATGTCATCCAAATTGCCATGCCCAAATGGGACTAATACTTTTCAGAACAATCAAATCCTTTAAATAGTTTATTGTAATACTGTGGTTCATAGTAAGATATGTTTGGTCTGCATCCCTATTCCTGGGGGAATATTCCTAAAATCCTTGGAAATTCCTAAGTGACAAGACCAATGAAGGTACCTTTTGTTATGTTAATGAGATAAATTTTGGAAAGCCCTCAGGTAACCTAAGGATGGGGGCTGGTTGCCAGGGGAACCAACCCTGTGATTAGAGGATTGAAACTTTCAGCCCCTCTCCCTAACCTCCTGGAGGGGAGGTGTTGGCAATCGCTCAGGTCACCAAAGGCCAATGATTTAATCAATCATGCTTATGTGAAGCCTGAAGAAAAACTGAAGAGGTAGGGGTTTGGGAACTTCTGGGTTGATGAACACGTGGACATGCTGGGAAAGTGCAGGCTTGGTAAGCATGGGAACCCTATGCCCCTTCCCACACACCATACCCTATGACTCCCTTCCACCTGGCCAATTACCTGTATCCTTTACAGTAAATAAGTAAACATGAGTTCTGTGAGTCAGCACCACAAATTAATCAAACCCAAGGAGGAGCCTGTGGGAACTGCAATTTACAGCTGGTGGGTGAGAAACACAGGTGGTAACCTGGCCTTGCAAAAGGTATATAAAGGGGGCTTGGGAGGGACAGTCTTATAGGACTGAGTCCTTAACCTGTGGGATCTGACACTCTCTCCAGGTGATGGTGGAAACACCTTGGTGCTTGGTGATGTTGGAAAAAACACACACATCACATTATACTTAGGAATACAGAGCCATGTGCAGTGAAAATAAAAATGCCCTTTGAATTTAATCTCTTAACATTCTGCAGGCCTAAACAAAGAATGATAAAGGAAGTTAGGTCTGAGCTTATCAGGCCTTTGCCATTTTCCTCTCACCTGTATATCTCATTCACATTCTCCAGTATCTTTTCCCCTGATAAGCTCAACCATTATGCTATAGCCATGCACAGAGAGGTCCATGTGTTTGGTACAAATCAACCCGTTTTCCTTAAGAGAACAATGTCCAGAGACCAAGACCCTGCTCAGAAGCTTTGAGCATTCAGAATGAAACAAAATGACTGAAAACACAAGCCTTACTCACACTAATTTTGATTCTTTAACTCGAAATTCCTTAAAACCAATGACGAGAAACAGCCCCCCTCTGCACATCTAGCAGGTTTTTCATCTGTTCTTCCCCTCTGTGTGATTACTTCAATCAGGCAGTGAATGACACACGGGGTTTTAATCACTGTGTGTTGTGACACCCGCCTTGCACCACAGCAATTTCCTGCAATCAGCGGTGCTTAAAAGGGTAATCAGAAGGCAGAAGAGTAGTCAGAAAAATCTGACATTTTTGCAGCTTGCACAGCAAAATAAGATTAGAAACCAAACCCAGAAAGCTAGAAACATTTAGGGGATGGGTGAGGGGAGAATGCTAGGGTAAGGAAGGACTCAAGTTCAATGCGTGTCACCTTTTGGGAACACTTCTTTCTGGCTGAAAATACAATGACTGTGATTGTTCAGAAACAGAGGTCCTGTCCCAGGCCAAGTTCATTATGTACATTTATACTCTTTATAAATAACCTCTGGAATACAGAAGATGAGTAGATGGTTTTGTTTACAAACCAGAAATATATATCTTTTCTGGATTTTAATTAATATTTCAACACATTTCCTAAACTTAGTCCTTTGAGAGTGCTGTGTCCAGACAAGTATGTTTTCATGCAGTCCTCTCCTGACCACTGGTATAGAGGCAGCGCTATCAACCTTGACCTGCCTTTTCTCTTGAATAAATTCTGGAAATCTGAGCCAGTACAGAAAAATCACATAGTGACTGACCACTTAGAAAGTAAGGGGGCCATCCTTACATCATCTACTACAAATGCTGTTTCAATTTTAAAAAGCCTGATTCTTTTTGTCATTTGCAAACAGATACTATTTTTTTTTTCAGTTTAATTTCCAGAAAATATCTGTCTCTATCACAATTTACTCTAGCCTCCTTTTAGGGCTATCTTTTAACCTAAGCATTCTGTACTCTGAGGTGTAGAATGAAAATTATTAAGCTGGTAAACTAAACTAACGGTTATGTGTTAGGAGCTCGTAGATCAACCTCACTGCCAGGTTGTGAGCATTTTGTAATAGACTGTTATTTCCCTGAAGGATGGCGCAAAAACTGGGGTATAAAGCCAAGAGTAGGGAAGATTCCAGGGACAACAGTCTTAAAAACAAGAGCAAAAAAAAAAAAGGGACAAAAAGAGTGAATTCTACTAGCCAGGAACTTCCCCTACTTGATGAGACACCTGCCTTAGAAGAGAATGAAAACTTTTATCTCTTTCCACAGAGGTAATCAACGCTGCTGCTCAGAAAACATCAAAGCTGAACTATGCAGAAAACATTCTCAGAATGACAAGCTAAGAGTTTACCTGGTGCAAAATGTAAGGTGAAAGAAAGTTGGGAGGAGGGTCTCTGCAGGGAATGACTCACCAGTCTCCCTCTTTGTGAAGAAAGTGCCTGAATTCCTTATACTCAAGTGAGCTAAGGATGCTTCGAAAGAGGTGAAAAGAAGGGATCATGTTTACTGTTCTACAGATTGAGTGAAGGGGAACCATATTACAGGTCTTCAATTTTATAGAACTATAGGAACTAAATTATAGTAAATCACGTTCATAAATGTCAAATTTGCACCATCAAGGGGGAAAGTCACCAAGCTTCAATAGAAATTATTTTTAAACAGAGCGAAGGTTCTAGAACAGCTCTGAGTGGCAGTCAGCTCTAAGCAGGCCTCACAAGACCCCACTGTACTTCTTCCTCTGCTGCTGCTGCAAGAAGGGAAAGTGGTGGGTCTTTTAAGAAAGGGTATTCGCCTTTGCCTCTGATGCTTCCCATCCAGTTATCTGAGAAATGCTGATGAAACACATAATCAGTCAGGGATCACAGTCTTAAGTTGCAAAGTGCACCCCTGCAGAGCCCTGCTGTTATTTCTGAGAGAAGAGCATTTCTTCTCCTGTCTGCCATGCCTTCCCAGGCTCATGGACAACTCCTCAGAGAGCACCGTGCTTCCCCCGCCACGCCAACTCACTGACCAACAATAACAGCTGAGAACTCCAAACATGACAAGGGTGAGAGGTAAAATTGGCACCAAGACCAGTCACTTTCTTTTTTTAAACACTAAATGTCCCCTCTTGATCTTGACTGGTAGAGGTTGTTGTTTTTGTTTTTGTTTTTTTGCCTACAACTTTGCAATTTTGTCTATACTACTCTTAATTTCCTAAATGCCACAGTATTCCTTATGTCATCCAAACATTTCTCCCTGTTATCTGGTCAATAAAGTATAGAAGATCCTTTTGAAAACATGGAACAGCAGAGCAGAACAACATTTATGTGATATGACCACAACAGAAAGAAATTATCTTGCTCATGCCTAAAATATAGCTCATGTTGTAAAAACAATTTCAGTTTCAAAGAAAGAACTCAATATTTAATCTTTTGGTTTCAGCAGTCCCTATACTTGACAGACTATGTCTGAAATGCACACCTCTTGTGTCAGCAAAGCAAGCTCCTCTTCCTTCCAGGTTCAGTTCAAGGACACCATCTCTAAGCAGCCTTTCCTGATGCCAACAGATGGACTTGCTCCTACAATTCCCTAACTATCTCTTCACTGCAGCACATAATACACTGGACTGTAATTATCTATAGAAGTATCTGCACCTTTATTAGAAAAGAGGTTCTATGAGGACACATGGTAAACACTCAAAAGCAATTCATTCAGTGTTTCTTTGACTTAAGTCCACTTGTTCACTCATTCAAGAAGTATTTATAGGCTTATGTATTATACATGTAACAGCACAATGCATTTTTAATTATCAGGTAAGACACTGTTTGCCCACCATAACTAATGAAGTCCGTGGAGCAGAAACTCTTACAAAATAGTCAAAGTAATGCCAAATAGTGTGAAATATAGAAGAGCTGGCGTTTCTATGACATAAGATGCTGTCTCACTGTTTGACAATTTATAGCACCATTAATTTTAAGGCACCTATTAATTCTTTGATATTTCCTTAATGAACTCGCCAATTATAAGAGATTAGCTAATAATTATAAAATACTTTTTGATCTAAAATGTACTTTTGCCTTTATTCCTAATTGATGCTAAGAAAATCACAACCCAGGAATAAGAACAAAATAGTTCTCTGTCATAACTGCTCAGGGAACAAATGCAATCTGATGGACTCTGAAATTCACTCACTCATTCATTCATGACAAATCTTTTCTAAAGACCTAGAATACACAAAGAACAGTCTTCCTACATGCCCTCTAAAGCAAAAAGCAGTTAACACTCATTGAGAGGATAGAAATCAAATGACCCTACCCCAAATTGTCAAATTCAAAGATGAGGTAAAATCATAACAATTCCACTATCAAAAAACAACCTTGTAAAGCCTGGTTGACCACAGCAATTGCAAGACTTGGTGATGTCTAGTAGCTCTGTTCCAACAAGCTTTTTCTACCACTAGGAAGTGATCAGTTTCTGTACACAAAAAAATAGCAAAATATGAACTGAAGTTATATCATTTCATCGAAGTAGGCAGAACAGAGCTCCAAGAACTATTCCCAGTTAATCACTGGCCAAAGTTCTGCTGGATTCAAAACCTACCACAGGGGTCCCTTTGCTCTCCCTCCTTTAAACTAGAAACCTAAACTTAAAATCAGACTTTATTCTTTCTTCCTTACTCTACCTATCACTGCTTATTTCTAGATTTAGAAACCTCATCAATCTAGAGGACTACAAAAATATGTAACTTTCATCTACACTCATACAAAGTTTATAAATAAGCAATCAGAATATCAGTATGCAATAATCCATTTATAAAAGTAGAAAAGCCAGTTTTTCAAAATTAACTCAACAGTTAATTCATCCACATATAACGTACACTATGCTTTCAACAGGCTCCATGCAAATCCATTTCTAAGGTGCAATTGAAGAGGACAATCAAAAGGAAAGTCTTTTTTCTACTGTCTTATAGGATCAACTAAAACTTTACAAATAAACTAACACAGGCGGCATTTAAATATATGTAAACTCTCCTTAGCTAAAGGGAGACATCTAGAGGCAAAAGCTTCACATTGGTGTTTTTTTCCCCACATCCTTGTGATCTGAAAGCCATTAAGGAGTCTTTTTAAGTTCCTCCACTTAGCAATTATTCTCCAATCATGCAGCTTGTGAATTCAATTCACTGAACAAAAATTGTTTATTTTAACCTAGTACTTGCCATCTAAAATGACAATATCCCTGAAATTCCAGTGGGCTCAATTTCATTTCATTCATATGCTTACTTTAAATATCATCCAGTCCGAAGCTTTTATTGGCAAAATGACAGAAAAATGAAACGGCTTAAATTGATAAGAGGCACAGACATAGATACTGCTTCCCAGCAGAGCCCTGATCACAAATACAGGATCCTCCAAGACTTTCAAGAGATCACAGCATAAGGAGCCATGCTATTTTAATGATGAACTATCTCCAAAAATGTTTACTGGTTTGGCTTATTTGATCAGAAAATATCCAACTCATCCCTCTGAAATAATTACTACTTCAAATGGCCTCAGGGGCCAAATAAAACAAGCTCATTGGCTAGCCCTGTGAAACGCATCAAGGGAGGAGTGGAGAGGCCTGCCTGCAAACTACAGAAGACCACCCAGACTAAAGACATTCCACTTTTTTTTCTCTCAACCCTAACCTGGCCAAAGTACCAATGCTGATCCCACCCCCATTCACTATACTTTGTCTACAGGTTTTCCCAACTCTCCCCACCCCACCAGACTGAAGTAATGCAAATTTGAAAAATGAATATCAACTATGTATCTGTATAGAAAATGTGTAGAGAAATAGACTCCAAATTGTTAATTGTCAAGAGAAGAGAAAAACTTAACTTTTAATTGAAAAGAAAAGGAGCAATATCAAAAACTATGGCAGGGCCTCCCTGATGGCACAAGAGGTTAAGCACCACACTACAAAGCCTCTGCAACATGAGTTCGATCCCGGCCGGCCAGGGAGCAACCCACAGGGCGCAGCAGACCTCTCCTGACTCGCCCACTGCTCCCCTCGGCAGTATACTTCGGTCAATCTGCCTGTTCTGTTCCCCACTGTCTCTGGTGAATCCTCTTACCCCCTGCATCTTTGGCCTGTACCCCAGCTCTTGTATGCATAAATAAATCTTTAAAAAAAAAAAAACAAAACAATGGCATACCCGACAGAATCCCTAATACTCTGAAGTGGGAGTAAGTGACAGCTGGACTAACAGAGCCAGTATCTCAACATCACACAAATCAAGGAGAAATACTTAGTGGCCACATATCATTACTCTGCTATATTCCATTTTTAAATAAGAAAGAAAATTAGGGGCATCCCTGGTGGCACAAGGGTTTAGCGTCAGCACTCTGAAGCTATCCACAGCTACTGCAGCAAGTTCGATCCCTGGCCAGGGAGATGACCCACATGGCACACCAGACCTCTCCTGTCTCACCCGCTGCTCCCCTCAGCAGTATATTTCAGTGGATCCGCCTGTTCTGTTCTCCACTCTGTCTCTGGTGAATCCTCTTACCATCCTACTGCACCACTGGCCTACACCCCAGCTCTTGTATGTATAAATAAAATAAATCTTTGAAAGAAAGAAAGAAAAAAAAATTACCAGTAAAGAAAAGCTTTATATATATTTGATTAAATGAGGCAACTGAATGAAAATTTTGAATCTCAGACATATTGAGCTGTCTTCTAGCTCCTGCCCAAATTTGAAAAAGCCTTACCATACAGATCAGGTCCATGAGGAGTAAAGACATTATACAAGACAATGTTGAGCGGTGCTATCACCAACCTCCCATAGTAGTAGCTATCAATGACCACCACGGGCACCTAAAACAGCAGGAAATAGACAGTAATTGTAGAATTCTGCTCTGGAAACATTCCCACAACGCTAGTGAGATAAACTCTAGACAAAACTCATATTGTCTTTTCCACATCAGCAGTTACAACTTTTGAACAAAACAAGAAAAAAAAACTCACCAGAAAGAGTATTAGGGCCATCACAGACCAGTAGAAGAAACTCTTCCACCTGTGTTTCATGACCAGCAAGTCAAAGGCAATAGGTAAACTATTTGACAGAGAAATGGAAAGTGGGGAGTTAAATACTTCGACTGCAGACTCAGGTCAGATTCACACATACCTCATGCTGAACTGAGAATGTAATATCTCTGACAGTCATGATGAGGAAAGAGTGCTGTTATGTGAGAGGTGTCTTCTTAAAAATACACTGATCCCTGCACAGGACCCAACAGAGCACTATGCACACCACAATGCACAAGAAATAGAAATACTGAGCTTCCGCGATGACCTTCACTGTATGTTTCTATATGTGACTGACATTAAGTATGTCAACTGTAAGTAAATGACCCCTATTGTACTATTCTACCTAGTCAAATAAGTGTTTTCTCCCATCCATGGTTTATTAAGGTTTAGTAATAATATGACAAACTTTGATTTCAATTATCATATATTTCCTTTCAACACCATTTGCTTATTATCTTCCTTTCAGTGAAACTCAAGCAAGTAGCATGTGTGTTGCCATCACTATTTCATTCTTTTTTTAAAGATTTATTTATTTATGCATACAAGAGCTGGGGTATAAGCCAGAAATGTGGGGGAGTGAGAGGATTCACCAGGGACAGAGTGGGGAACAGAACAGGCAGATGGACCGAAGCACACTGCTGAGGGGAGCAGCGGGCGAGTCAGGAGAGATCTGCTGCATCATGTGGGTTGCTCGCTGGCTGGCCGGGAGCTGCAGAGGCTGCGGATTGCTTCATAGTTTCGTGCTTAAACCCCCGCGCCACCAGGGAGGCCCCTGCCATCACTATTTCATCCTTAACATCGAGGATCAAGCTACTGAGGCTGATCTAGGTCCACAGGAAGCTCCTCTCTGTCAGATGCTGCATTCCCTCACAAGCTTCACCTCCCTTTTGTTTATGCACATGACCCAAAGCATCTGTTCCTCCCTCTTTAGGAGCCCTGGCTCCTATTCTTTTCTGGCTTCTTCCTAGTGCTCCTTTCTAGGTTTCTTTTTTCCCCTACCCCATGGTGGTATCCTGTCTCTAAAAGCAAACTGCAGCTGTTCTTTTTCACACTCATTTTCTCAGTGGGTGCTTCAGCTCATGTTGCATGAACAATCACCTTCACAGCCACAACTAGGATACGAGTCAGCAAAGAATCGCCTACCCACACCATTCTGCTTACACAGAATCCACCCCAATGCCAACTCCAGGCTCTATTCCTACCTCCTTCATAGAATCTCTGCAGAACCAATTTTTCCCATCTCTGAATTTATAAGGCACTAATATCTCTCAGTAGTTGGCAATGTCACAGGATATCTCTTCTATGATTTGAATTTCCATATTCTAGTATCTAAATTATGTATTAAGATTTTTGTTTTTATTTTTTTGTCTCCCTACTAGTTACATTTCCATAGCACCTGTAACTCTCTTTTGATGGGTCATCATACCTTTAATTAATTGTTAACTGTCTGTCTTCCCACTAAAATGTAAGCTTCAAAGCAGTAGGAATAACTGTCTTATTTATCATGATATCATCTGTGCTTAGCACTAAGTATTCAATAAAAGATGTCTTGTTAAGTGACTATGCTCCTGAAATCACTTATCTCAGCCAAAGGCAGACCAATTAAAACATGCCACCCAGGGGTACTGGGAACTCATGAAGTTCAATGTAAACAGAGCAGAGAGTGAAAGGAATAGAGGAAGTGACAAAAGGAGCTGGGAAAGGTAAAATAGAATATTAGGGGCTTTGTCATGTCAAGTAGTGGTATTATTAAAGGATCTGTCAGTATATATTTTAAGCTTCACAGGCCAAATACGGTTTCTACTACATACTGTGTATGTGTGTCTTTTTTTTAAACAAACCTTTAAAAATACAAAAATGTAGTTGTTAGGCCAGCTGGATTTGGCCCACTGGCCACAGGTTATGACACAGAGAAATGGGAAAGTCACTATAGAGTTTAAACCAATCAAAGAGTGATAAAACCCTATTTGCCTTTTAGGATGATAAATCTATTTTGAATATAGAGAGTAGACTTACAGAGGCAAGACTAAAGACAAGATCATTTGGGAAGTTATGTAGTAATCCAAGAATAGCGAAATAAAGAATGTGTAAGTGAAGCTCAAGAGATAATTAAAATAGATATCAAGCTATGGGGATATCAAGATGGTTGAGAGACAGCAGAAAATCTAGAAGAGGGCCTCACACAAAACCTTGAAGGATGTAATAATGGAAGATGATATGCAGAACAGAAGACAGGAGATAGAGTAATCAGACTTTAAAAGGCAATTAGGAAAATTTAAAATGTCTATTCTCTTAGTAACTACTCTTCCAAAAATTTACTGCGTAGATAAATTTCCACAAGTGTGCAAACAAATGTTCACTGAAGTATTGTGTATAACAGCAAAAAACTGAAAATCAAACATCTACCAACAAAGTGACGGTTAAATAAATGGACAGCTAAAATAATGGAAAGTTGTGCAACTGATACAAGGAGCAATATAAAATCTATGCACAATAGAAGATATACAGACAAAATAGTTCTATTTAAGAATGTATATATGTGTATGTTTGTGTCTATGCAGTATATACACAGGATAATTTCTGGAAAGATATACGCAAAGCCATTAGCAATGACTATATTTTTAGATTGAGCTAGAAGAAAAGAGATTACTTGTAAACTCATGCAATGTGGAGACTTTTTAAAAATAATGATATATTATTACTATAATCACTTTCACAGCAAACTAAAATCTTTTCCTAAATTACTAGTGCTACAGGCAAGAAATCAAGGCAGCACAAAGGAGAGTGAAAGAGGTAGGAACAAAAGGTACAAGAAGAATGAGAAGTACCAAGGAACTTGGAAAAAAAGATCCTGGAGGCCTCCCCTGGTGGTGCAGAGGTTGAGTGCTGGGCTGCGAAGCTGCCCGCAGCCTCTGCAGTGCCGGTTCAATCCCGGCTGCCAGCAAGGGTCCCACATGGCATGCAGACCTCTCCTGCTGCACCCGCTGCTCCCCTCAGCAGTGTATTTCATCAGTCTGCCTGTTCTGTTCCCCGCTCTGGCTCTGGTGAATTCTCTCGCCCTCCTGTGCTTCTGACTATACCCAATGCTTACATAAATAAACAAATAAATCTTTGATTAAAAAAAAAAAAAGAAAAAGAAAAAAAGATCCTGGGACAAGAAAGGAGAAGCACTGACAGGAAGCTCGGATTTTAAGCTTCAGTGACTGGGAAAATGCACAGTCCATCATGCCCAGAGTGTAGGAAATATCAGCTGTAAAGTTCAGAAGGCCTGGTCCATAAGCCCACAAGATCTTAGAGGCAAATTCCTCAGCCTCTTGGGGTCTACTTTCTCATTTATAAAGCACTAATCAGTGTATTTCTCTCACAGACTCATTGTAAGGCTTAGGCAACATTTACAGGGGGATTAGGAATACGTAACATGCAGCAGATGCTTAAGAGTCACTGTTCTTATTAGAATTAACCACAACGATAAAAGCCTTAAGAGAAATATTCTACCATTTTTTAGAATCTTTGTAGTCTAATTAATTACAACAAATATAGAAATAAGTTTAAACACTAAAATTTACGATATACTAGTGATACAAGGAAGACAAAATGTGTTAGCTCCTTACCCAAGTGCCACACTGAATGGCCAGCCTAGGATGGCCCCGGCTGCTACTCCAAGCACAGCAATGGAAGTCTTGTCCATATACCAGCCAGTCATGGCTATCAGAGTCGTGTACATACAAAAGCTACTGGGAAGAAATGCTGCAGGAATCAAGAAATGAAAACGGAGAAAGGGATGAGTCTGAGTACTACGAAGTATCAATTATTAAAAATGTGCCTACATTGCAAAATGCCAGTAACCAGGAACATATTTTGGGCAATACTATATTAGAATTGTGCAGTAAAGTGACACTCCTTTAAAGAAAAATTAAGTTCAGTGATTTTGTTGTGTGATTCCTGCTTTTAAGGTACCAACACAGTGCCCAATTACACAATACCAACCAATTAGGTCATTCTTTCCCTGAGATGTACTGCAAATCCAAAACTTAGTGAAATCCAGGTTCTGTACCACTATCCCCAGGTTATATTTCCAGGCCAGGAATAAGCAGCAAGAGATCTAGAGTCTGCTGACAATCTACTTCTGCAAAGTTATCTCCTGATAGTCTCTGAGACTATCCTAGTATAAACATACATCCCGTGTAAATTCAAAGACGTCTTCTCAAGGGTGAAATGCTGGCTGGCAGCATCACTTGGCATCCTATATCCACTGACATAGAGTGGCCCTTTGATGTCCCCCTAATTATTTCCCTCTGGCATTACTTTCTTGTACAGAGAGGACTGAGTATTTACAGTTCTAACTGATGTCTGATCAAAGTGTTTCTAACAACTCTACATAAAAAGGCAGATCTGCTATGGAAGGCCAGCTTCAATGAGCACTAGAAAAAATAAACCAACTCCAACAAGAACCACAATAAACAAGCAGTGTGATTTAAGAAACTCACAAAGGGTTCAGAGGCTCTGTATTAAAGGATGCCTTTGACTGAACTTACAGGATACCTCAACTGAAATTACAAACTAGAGATCCTCCCAGGTATCTCTCACATAAGACTCAATTTGTGGAGTAGCAAAGTGATTAAAGAAACATGTGAGGGAGCCTCCCTGGTGGCGAAAGGGGTTAAGACGCAGCACTATGAAGCTACCCACAGCCACGGCAGCACGAGTTCAGTCCCTGGCCAGGATGCTACCCACATGGCACAACAGATCTCTCCTGTCTCGCCCACTGCTCCCCTCAGCAGTGTATTTCAGTCAAACTGCCTGTTCTGTTCCCCACTCTATCTCTGGTGAATCCTCTAACCACCCCCCTGCACCTGCGGCCTGTACCCCAGTCCTTGTATGCATAAAATAAATAAATCTTAAAAAAAAAAAAAACATGTGAGGTACAACCTCCACAGATAAATGCTAGATAATACTGCTGCATCCAAAGTTGTCTATTCCAGATGCCAATATAGAGGACTCTGGGGCCTCTGCCAGCTCAGAGAGTAGAACAGTCTCATTAGGACAGTGGTTCTCAAAACTATTCAGGTGTGGAGCCATGAGGTCTCTGCAGAACACGAATTTTTTTATAATTAGTGAGGGAAAAGTAAATAAATGATTTTGTACTGGTTACTACTTTTGTGTATACTATGTATACTATTCTTAGAAACTTCAGAGATTTGAGAAATGACTACCTTTGGGAAGCAGGTCACCTTGGCTTAGTTCATACCACACAAACGTCCATGGGGACACTTTAAAAGCCAGCACTCTAGATTAGGGTCTCTATAGTTCTAGAAATGTACTGGAAAAGAAAAAGCCCCAACAATATTGACACTTCTATTGCAAATAGTGGGCTGAAAGCAGAATTATCAAGAACAGGACTTTTAGGTACAAATGACTTCTTTGAGCAAGATAAAATTCTATCCCCCAATAGCAAAGAAAGACAGTGGTTCGTTGAGTTTTTCAACCTTGCAGTGATAAAATCACATTAACATAATAGAAAGAAACCTGGTGAAAAAAGCAGCTCCAATACTTATGAATTCTTTGACTTTCAGTAAATCATTTCACCTTTCTAAGTTTCAATGTCCTCACATATAAAATGAGAAAATATTTACTTTCTTTATACCCAGGATTGTTGTAAAGGTCAATCAAGACCATGTAGATAGGAGAACAGAGCTCTGCAAATCACTGACATCTTATACAAATATACCTACATCTGGTGAAATTTTCCTTTCAATGCAATATCCCTCCCCTGCCCTTTTATACTTACCTGATGATGAACAAAACATGCCAGTGCTGAGAACCAAGAAGGCTAGCATCATTCGACTCACATGCAGCCCAAATTTCTTGCACACAGCCCTAGAAAAAAGGCAAAGATTATCCCATAGCAAACCTTAGGGACATTTCAAACCAAAGCACAAAAACATGCCTACATCACAGGGCAACTAAACATCTAAAGTCAAATACAAATCTCAACAAGTTTGTTAACAATTTCATGGGCATAAGAAACCCAACTTTGTTATTCCTGACACAGGAGAGAAGCACTCTACCTCGGAGGAAATGTACACTTTCCAGGCTAAGCTAATGTCTGTTTTTTTATAGGAAAACAGCATGATATAGTGATGCATCAGGCCCAAGAGTCAGATGAGCACAGGTTCAAATTCTGGCTCTGCCAGTGCAGTGATGGCCAGTCTAGTTATTGAATCTCTGTCAGATTCCTTATCTGGATGATGACAATACCTACTTTGACAGATTTCTGTGAAAACAATGCATGGAAAAATGCTGAGGAGCACATAGTTCCTCACTAAATGATAGTTATCAGAAAAAAGACTAGGAGATAACCCAAGTGGTAACAAGTGGTTATCTTGGTCAATGTTTCTCAAAGCAATTCTGTATTTCCCTTAACTTCTTTCTTAGAGGGTCTTTTTTTAACCATACAAATAAAATGCTAGATATTACTACTATAATAATAAAGGTGGGGAAAATTTAAGAAGCAATTCAGATATAGTATTAGGAGTGAGAAGGAAAGTGTTTTCTCTCTAAATATTACTTACACTATCAGAGAAATAATCTATGCTATATTGAACTTACTCATTACACTTTTAGAAGCAAAGCTTTTATACTTACTTGTAAAAATAAAGTTCACAGATACAGCTCACAAAAGCCAGGAGGCATCGTAAAAAGTAAAAGACGAGAATCTGAAACAAGCCCAGAACAAGAAAACAAAAGTCAAAGATACAAGTGAGAAAAAGTCTTAAAAAAAAAAAAAAAAGAAGCCATTCTCATTTGTCATTAATAAAATCATAAAAACTGATACAATCCTTTGAAAAGTAACATGTAACAAGAATCATACAAATTTTCATATCCCTAGACTCAGCTGTGATTCTAGTCAATAGAAGTAACTCAAATTATTAATCATGACAATGTTAGCTGTGGTACTACTATTAGAGCAAAACTGTATAAAAAAACTACAAATTGTTCAACTAAAGGGTAATGGTTAAATAAATCACGCTACATATACCTCATGGATTATTATACAGATATTAAAATTTGTGGTTACAAAGATAATGGGAAAATTCTTTGGTATAAAGTTCATTTATTTAACAAGCACTTCTTAAATAAGCATAACATATTAAGTATTGATTACCACAAAATACTAAGTGAAAATGCATAATACAATATTATATGCACATCCAAGGTAAAGTTATAGACGTAAAGAAGTCTATAAAAAGACTGGAAAGATATATAATGGTAAAAGTGACTGTATCAAGCTGATGAGATGTAGGTGTATAACTTTCCTTCTCGCTTCCAAACTTCTGTAATGTCGCTTTATTAATTTTATAAGTAAGGACATCAATTTAAAAAATAAATATATCAAAATAGGAGTTATATCAAATAACTTTCATACAGTATATTGATATTTAACAGCACTAAATATCTCCAAATATAAGCACTATTTAAATATAATTAATGTAACTACATATAACTTGAAAATACTTTCTATTTTCAGCACTACAACCCCCCAAAAAATCCCAAGAGTTCAACAGTAAGCCAGATTCATTAATTTAAGAAAAATGTACTGAAAATCTACTATATAATGAGCACTATTATAGATGCTACTAGGAATGTAGATAATTTAAGTACAAAGCTTCCATGTTTAAGGGTTCCTTGTCTAGTTGGGGACAAAACAAAATACATGTAAAAGTTAAAAATGAATACAAGAGGGACTCCCCTGGTGGCGCAGCGGTTGAGCGCTGGGCTGCAAAGCTGCCCGCAGCCTCTGCAGCACCGGGGTTCAATCCCTGGCCGGCATCGAGGGTCCCACATGACGCGTAGACCTCTCCTGCCGCCTGCTGCTCCCCTCAGCAGTGTATTTCATCAGTCTGCCTGTTCTGTTCCCCGCTCTGGTGAATTCTCTCACCCTCCAGTGCTTCTGACTGTACCCAGTGCTTATATAAATAAATAAATCCTTAAAAAAAAAATGAATACAAGAGGCCTCCGTGGTGGCACAAGGGGCTAAGTCGCAGCACTATGAAGCTATCCGCAGCCACTGCAGCACACTGATCCCTGGCCAGGGATGTGACCCACACGTTGCAGCAGACCTCTCCTGTCTCACCAGCTGCTCCCCTCAGCAGTGTACTTCAGTGGATCTGCCTGTTCTGCTCCCCATTCTCTCTGGTGAATCCTCTCACCATCTTACACCCCATCCATTGCCACACCTCTGGCCTGTACCCCAGTTCTTGTATGCATAAATAAATAAATCTTAAAAAAAAAAGAAACTGAAGTCTATATACACAGATCAAAGAGAATCTGAAAAACCAGAAAAACCATTGAAACTAACAAGGAAATTCAGAAAGATTTAGACTAAAAGTATGGTCCTTTTCTCTAAATCATATACAGTGTTGTGAACCAATATTACTGCAATAAGAAAGATAAAATTTTAAATGCCTCAGCAAGCAATTAAGAACCTGCTTCAAACAAATGTATTCTCAGTATAGAAACCAAAGATATAAAGAAAAGCAAGTGGAAACTTTTCAGAAATAAAAAATACAATAACCGAAAAAAAAAAAAAAAAAACCCCATCCAGCTCCATGGATAGGGGTCACCTGTAGAACAGAAGAGACATAATAAAGAATCAGTGAACTAAAATATAGAAGAAACAGTTCAACCTGAAGAACAGAGAGAAAAAAGAGTGGGGGGAAGAAATGAACAGAGACTCAGGGACCTATGGAATTATAACAACGGATCTAACACTCAAATCACTGGAGTCTCAGGAGAGGAGAAACATAGTAAGGCTGAAAAAATAAGAGCTAAAAATTTCCCAAATTTGGTAAAAGACATAAACCTACATTCAAGAAGTTGAATAAACTCCAAACAGGGGGCCTTCCTGGTGGCGCAAGGGGTTAAGACACAACCTATGAAGCTGGCCACAGCCTCTGCAATATGAGTTTGATCCCCGGCATGAGTTCAATTCCCAGGTGGCCAGGGAGCAACCCACATAGCGCAGCAGACCTCTCCTGACTCACCCGCTGCTCCCCTGAGCGGTGTACTTCGATCAATCTGCCTGTTCTGTTCCCCACTCTGTCTCTGGTGAATCCTTTCACCCACACCACCACACCTCTGGCCTGTACCCCAGTTCTTATATGCAAAAATAAATCAATCCTTTAAAAAAAAAAAAAAACTCCAAACAGGGAAAACCTAACGAAATTCACACCAACTCTAAAAAGTTATCTGGTTAAGTCTAACTTCTAATTATCCTTGAGCCTTCTGCTTAAATTAGGCTTGTAATATGCAATCCCATTGTGCTTTTCCTCCGTAAGACTCACTGTGTTTATAATTACTTGTTCAATGCTCATTTTTCCCACTATACTGTCAGTTCCAGGAGGACAGAGATTTGGTCATTGTTACATCTCCAGCACTTAACAAATTTCTACCAAATAAAAGTTGTTCCATTAAATATTGTTGAACAGAAGACTTAATGAATGATTAGTATTCAAAAAAAGTCCCCTCTGAACTAGTGATGTAATATTTCCTTTTCTCAAAACTATTCCAGAGACTCACATCTTGATCAGCTGTAATTGCTTCCAGGGTGGTCTGCCCTTACCTTATTGGTCTGTAGAATTCTTGCATGAAATGCAGCTGGCCAGGCATGAAGCAACAGGTAAGCATAGGAGCGAATGGCATAAGTTGGGGAATATTCCCAAGTCTGAAACCCCTTCCCATAGATGAGGTAGTGCGTCTAAAAGTATAAAACAAGAATAATCAGGGTTATATCATCTAAAAATGCTTATTAAAAGATGCAGCTGAAGTTCCTAAGCAGAAATATTAAAGACATAAAGGTACACAAAAAATGCTACAACTCTCAACAAGATCTGCAATTAATGGATAAAATTAAAACGATATTCTACATTCTAAGTTCTAGGACATTCTAAATTCTCTAAGACTGTTGTTTGGTCAATATTAAAGCCTAAATTTTACCCTCTACTTGTTTTTATTTTTTTAATTCTCATTAGCCAAAACAGAGAAACTCTAAGTCTTATGTTTCCTTAAATTACCTACACTATTCTTCTTTGATGCAAAATGTGATCAGAAAATTTTACCTATGGATTTTCAATAACAGGACAGTTACAGAATTATAAATGTATGATTCATGAAATAATATAAACATACTAATTAGTAACATTGTTTATTTTAGTAAACATCAGAAGAAACAGCTTTAGAAGTTCAAAGAAAATGGTTGCTTCTGTGGAGTAGAATCCGGACCTGAAAAGTGGAACCAGGAGCTACTATTTTCCTTCAAGTTTTGCAGTATTTGTTAACTTTAAAAAATATTTATTTTGGGGCCTCCCCTGGTGGCGCAGGTGGTTGAGCGCAGCACTGTGAAGCGGTCTGCAGCCTCTACAGCACAGGTTCAATCCCAGCCGGCTGGCGAGATAACCACATGGCACGGTAGAGCTCTCCTGTCTCTCACCTGCTGCTCCCCTCAGCAGTGTATTTCAGTCAGTCTGCCTGTTCTGTTCCCCACTCTGTCCCTGGTGAATCCTCTCATCCTCCTGCACATCTGGCCTGTACCCCAGTTCTTGTATAAACAAATAAACCTTAAAAAAATTTTGATTTTAAAAAATTAATTACAAATTATATTTTTTGTAACCAATTTCCTATAGCCTTCAATAGAAGGTATATCGTCAGTTTAGAAAGCAAAAGTGAAAATAATGTCACTTGACTAGTCACATTCATATATTATTTGTATCTTGATTGGTAACAAGGTCCCAAACAGTGAATTCAAAAACAAAAAAAGAAAACTGAAGAAATCACCTACTGGCTCCCAGTAGTTGAACGTTTCATCACAGTCAGAGATGTTGCTTAGGAGAGCAGCACATAATCTTGCGGAGAGCAGACATTTGAAAGCAGTAGATCCTTCAGGCGCCCAGACTTGTCCTGCCTTGTTCCCTGATAACCTGCTCAGGAGAATACACACAAAAAAAGAAGTATGTATCTTTTTTGATTGCTGAGTAATATTCCATTGTGTATATATACCACATCTTCTTGATCCAGTCATCGATTTTTGGGCATTTGGGTTGTTTCCATAGCTTAGCTATTGTAAATAGTGCTGCTATTAACATGCGGGTGTAGGTGCCCTTTTGAATTAATGTTTCTGTGTCCTTTGGTTATTGCTGGTCATGCAATTTGCAGCAACATGGATGGAGCTGGAAGGGATCACGCTCAGTGAAATAAGCCAGAAAGAAAAAGAAAAATACCAGATGGTCTCACTCATAGCAGGAATTTAGAAAACCTAAATAAGAGACCAGGAAAAAAGACTAATTATAATAAAGTAAAAATCAAAATCAACAAGCAACTGTAAACCAGAGACACACTATTGGGGGGGGAGGGGAGGAGGGATCAGAGACAAAACAAGGGTGTAGGAATTGTATGGGGACTATAACCAAAATGAAAATGCATACATTGTGCAAAAATGAAAAGTGATGTAAAAAATATATAAAATAAAATTTTTAAAAAAGTATGTATCAGGAAGATATGTTAACCAGAACTAAAACTAGACAGAACAAGAATGGCAAGGGACCGGTTATTCATCTAAAAAGATGACCCACTAGTAATTCTGAGTAGAATAACTAAGAATTAAGAACGTATTCAACCTTAATCATTAACTCCTTCCATTTCTTGCTTTAAGGTCTAAATTAATTCATACACTTTAGGTCTTTGCCTCTGACACTCCCCTATCTCAAGATAACTAATCATTTTCAGCCCACGAAGTTCTCATTTCCTTCTTTTCTTTCTTATTTTAAGATCATTACTTTCCGTGGTTTTGTTCCTCTCCCCATTTGTCCAAGTGCATGGAGACCCAATATGTGCACGGTCCATATTGTTCCTCCAGTTCCATAAACTGACAGCTCCTTTAATGCTGCCCTAACCCCCAGAACCCCAGACTTGGGGAGAGAAGAGGCTGCAGGCGCAGGAAGGTTGTGGGGCTCACCCAGGTAAAGGGTCAGGACTTTGCAGGAAGGAAGCAGTAAGAAACACCCAGATCAGGTACACTCTTTGCTCATGCCAACGCCTCCACCCAACTCAAACACCCTAACGCCGGCCTGAGCCAGGACCAGGAGCCTCAAGGACCCGCACCCCAAGATTCCCCTGCAAGAAGCAAGGGCCGCAAGCAGGGGGATTTCAGGTGGGGCGAAAACCGCACGCTGACCGGCCGCGCAGAAGCACCTGGGTGAAAAATCGGACCCAGCGGCAGAAAGGCCCGCGGTGTGGGGCGGAGACCCCCACCCCAGGGTACCCCCACCCCAGGGCGCCCCCTCCCCGGGGCGCCCCGCGCGGGCCGGCCGGCCACGCCCCCGCCGCGCCCGCACACGCACTCGCCCCGGGGCTCCGCGCCGCCCGCCTCCCGGCTGCTCAGCAGCTCCCGCAGCTTGTCCGCCGCCGAGGCCGGGTCCCCGCCGCTGCCTCCGCTGCCCTTCAGGCGCTGCCGAGCCCCGCGGCTGACCATGGCCGGCCAGCGAGGGGAGAGCGGAGTCCGGCACCCTAGGAGGGCGGCGAGCGCGCAGACATGGCTTTGGCTGCCGGACGGTGTCCGCCGAGGGACAAAAGTCCTCGACATGCGCAGAAAAGGCTGAATTATGTCACTGGGCCAATGGGGCAGATCCCGGAGTCTGAGGGGAAGGCGATCTGAAGCTTGACTTTCACCACCTAAGTTTTCCCTTCCACTTATTTGTAACTGGGCATTCCCTCCCTCCAACTCTCTCCACTTTTCAGCATTCTCCACTCATTACATAAACGGTTCCTCGTTTCTTTTTGATTAAACAACTCAACAAAGTGAGTCAGCAGAGGCATTTGTTTAAATAGCACAGCACAGCTGCTTAGCAAACGGGAGGTCCCCACAGGGCAGGGCTACCTACCTTGCCTCGCTGTCTTTCAGTGCAAGTGATCTGTAGCTAATTAATTAGCTGCTCTAGAGACAGATAACGCAGTAATGGCAGAAGGAGGTGAGAGACAGGAATTTTTTGCAGCGGATTTAATCAAACACCAGTCACTGCCATTGCTACTTAGGCATTATGTTATATATTTTATCCTTTCAAATTTTAATACAACGATTTTTTTTAAGATTTATTTATTTATGCATACAAGAGCTGGGGTACAGGCCAGAGATGCAGGGGGTGAGAGGATTCACCAGAGACAGAGCAGGGAGCAGAACAGGCAGACGGACTGAAATACACTGCTGAGGGGAGCAGAGGGTGAGACAGGAGAGGTCTGCTGTGCCATGTGGGTAGCTCCCTGGCCAGGGATCAAACCTGTACTGCAGAGGCTGCGGACAGCCTTATAGGTTACGTCTTAACCCCTTGCACCACCCGGGAGGCCCAACAATATTATTTTACAGAAAAGGAAGGCCCAAGGCTGTGTAGCTCGTAAATGGGGAGATATATTTCAATTCAGATCTGCCTGACTACACAAAGTCCATGCTCTTCCACCAGAGCTGGAGAAATCTGATTTCATACAAGCCTTTTCATACAGACACTTTGATGATCACACCTGTGACACTCAGGGGTGATTCATCTGTTCTAATGTTCTGCACGCTTTCCCAGTCACAGAACTCTGCCCACCCTGTGGAGGTCTGCACCTGTAACTTAAACTTGTTTATAGAGAGAGTGCTGAACTTGACAGACCCCCAAGTTATGACTTCATATTAAAAATGCACAAGTATTGAAAATGGAGATTGATCACATTGCTTAGCAATTATTAATTGCCAAGTTCAGACACCCCACATGAGCTACATCTTGTATAGCCACCTCTTTTCCATTCCCATTTTCATTTCACTCTCATGCAACCCCTTCCCTGCCTCCACCAAAAACTACTACATCCTTACAGGAATCTCCCATCTCAAATTCACCCTGTGCAACACTGTCCAGTTAATTTTTCAAAAGCATTACTCTGTGTGTTGCTTCCTCAATTAAAAATCAAAGGATTTTTCTTATTGCCTGCCCAATGAAGCACAAAGTCCTTATTCTAACATTTATAGTCTTTCATGACAAGAACTGAATTATTTCATGATATGAAGTCCAGTCCCAAACTTTTTTTATATCAAACTTTATTGAGGTAACATTGGTTTAAAACTTAAGTTTTAAGTGTACAGTATTGCAATTTCAATTTACTTGTCTAATCTTATCTCCCACTACTTTCCGATACACATTTTACATTCCAGCTAACATGAAAAGTGCCCAAAATGCCCCCTTATCCATACCTCTATTCAAATAAGCCCTCTGCCTGGAATGCATGACCTCCTTGTTTGACAATCCTTCTGTCACATCCCTCATTTTAGGAGCCAGCTCAAATGAAACCTTATCCACATACAGGTACTACTGGGAATTGATGAAAGTTATAAATTACATTAACTACCCTCAGTCTATATGGAGAGCTAAGCAATATATATGTCCCCAAAAGAATCCTAGATTCTTTACTGCACTCTCTAAAACTTACTCCTATGCCAGTTTTTCCATTCCAGTTAATGAAACTCCTATTCTTCCAGTAGCTTAATATAAGCACCTAGGAGTCCTATTTGATTCCTCTTTTTCTCTAGCACCACTGACTTCACCAGTGCATATATATTTAATTCACAGCAAATCTAAGTGTTACCCAATCCTATAACTTATCGTGCTGTTTCCAGTCATCATTATCTCTTACTTGGATTACCGTGATGACTTCCTAATTTGTTTCTTTTATCACATCCCTTCTATTCTTGCCTTCTTGCATGCTTCTCTCCAAGTACAGTAATAAATATGTGTATATCCTTCACAGAGATTACAATCTATGGAGTCTTACATTTTAATTAGGAAGATACATAAATTCATATTAGAGTACCTCACTCTGCAGAGTCCTGGGCATATCAAACCTCCCAGTGTCCACCCCCCAACCCTCCAAAAAAAATCTAATGCAGGGGCAAGGGGCTAGGGAGGCAAAATTTAGAGTTAATCACAGTTGAGAGGCTAGGGAAGGAAAAGTAACAGAAAGTGGCAGAAAGAACATGGGCTTTTGAGCCAGACAGACCCAATTGTGGACTCTAAATCTGATATTTATTAATTCCATGATTTACAGTAATCAACCATGGAATAAAAATGATAATGCCAATACTACTTATGAAGCACTTGCAAATTATCTGACTCCTTGAAATTCATATAGAGGTAGGAAAGAGGAATTGACAGTGTAGGAAAAATATATATATGATGAGACACCAAAATTCTACTGCCTCTTCAGCAATGGAGCATCTACAGTATAAGATACTGTTTTGATCACATTACGGTCTGTAAGTCTAAGTATCATCTTTAGAGTCAACAGACAGTGGTTAAAATTACATAGTAAAAGAGTTAACAATAAAAAGCAGTTCAGAAAATTCTTGGTTATACATTGGTGGATTTTGTTCACACCATGGAACTCCCACCGTAAAAATGAATTTATACAACTACCGAGGTGTCACATGTAGTCGTTGTTGAATCTCTTTCCTAAACTGGGACTGCATTGATGCTACCTGCTGCTGGGTGAGGGCCTTGTCACAGGTCTGGTAGGTCATTCTGTAGCAGAGACTAGTCTGGCCAGTCTTTGGATGTTGAAAACAACTAAGGAATTGAATGGCTATGATAGTGTCCTGGGACACTGCCCGGGCCACAGTGTGAAACTCTAGTTCATCAAATCCTTTCTTCTCATCCAACCAAAAACTAATATCATGCACATAGCATGGAGGATAGAGGGAATAGTTTTTAAAGGGTTCAATTTTCCCAGGGACAAAATGCTTTAGGAAACGATTATCAAAGGTCCACAACATTCTCCAGTCAGAGATACCCCAGACAAGCATGGCTAAAAGGTCCAAGTTTATAGACACAAACACAAAACCCTGGTCTTTGTGTATAAGGCTTACTGCAGACGTGGTGACAGACCCAATAATTAGATCCTTGGCACAATCTGGGGCAAAATGATGAGACTTCACACTGATCACAAAATCTTTCTCATCTGGTTGAAAGACAAATTCCACTGAACTGCTCATCTTAGAGCCTTCCAACAATGTCTGGTTCAGGAGGCTATCTAGAATGCTCTTCAGGTGATCCAGTAGTGATTGAAGACAGACATCCTTCCGATTTTCATTAAATCCAAGGATAAATAAAGTCTCATGAAATGCTGGCATTGTGAAAGAAGAGATATGGCATTTCCGAAAGACAGGTCCACTAAGGATGTGCAGAGAACCTGGGAGGAAGTCTGGTGCTTGGATGACATCCTGAACATGAACAAGGAGAGAAGGTCTAAGGCAGACCTTGGCTTGGTCACAGTGTCCTTCATGAGCTTCTCCCTCACTGTTTCTTCCAGGAGTGTTGGAAAGACTAAGTTCTGAAAATGACACAAGGAAGCCCTCCATGTCTTGTGTTGTCCTACCAGTTAGGAACTGGGAATTTGAGTTATCTTCACAGAGACTAATCCAGAAGGCTGCTGACAGAATGTCACAGTTCCAAGGAGTGAGAACACTGGTGCCTCCCAGTGGCAGCAAAGGGAAAGAACACTTCAGCCTTTTTAGAGGGAAAGCTTTGCCCAATTCAGTAATGAGTTTCTCATTTATGGTTTTGATAGGATGACATGAAGATGCTTCTAGGAAATCCCTGTTTAAACACACACAAAAATTAACTTTTCTAACTTGAAATAATTATATCTAGAGTTAAAATACAAACAGCTATATAGAAAAGAATTATTTTTAAATTGATCCTGAAGGAAAGATGTCACCTACCATAAAAAAAAATACCATGTGTTTCAGAACTCTGACAGCTACCATCCCAATAATATACCAGAAAATATGACAATTTTCAATTCTAAAGATATTTGTTTATACCGGACAAATACTTGTGGCACTAGCACTATTAGCAATTTATGTAGTATCCATAAAATATATAGTTGCTATCAAGCTAATGAGGGTACAACTAGAGATAGAAGTGATTTCTGGTAAAATTTCAGGTTACCTATTCAATTTTCCCACAAGAGCTTCTGGTTCCGGGAAGGAAAACCATTGATCACCCACTTTGAGCCTGAAGATTCTGGGCTGTAAACCTTCAAAGGGTAAGCTCCGTGTGAAGATATGGTTCAAAGCACCTTCTACATGAAAGGATTTATCTTGACTCCTGGCAAAACAGATCCCAGGTGTGAAGTATGGCATTATTAAAGAAAGCAAGTATTTTTAGAGACAATCAGGAAACTGGCAGAGGAAATGTTTGCTTATGTGATTGCTTTTTATCGTTAGTGAGAGAGATAAAAAGGAGAACATTGAGACCATCATTATTACTTACTTATATCCAGTGCACTTGTAGCCTGGCAGAGTGTGATAGCTGAAGGGATGCACATCACTTAGAATGAATCCCCCCAGTGCGGCCATAGCAACCACTTGCCAACTGTTGTACCATTCTCTTCTGGGCTTATCAGCAGGAGTTCCACCTTGTCCTCTACACAATGCCACGTGAACTTCTCCTTCCTCTGCAAGGACATCTGCACAGCTAGGGGTAGGGGAACATCAATCACTTATCAGAAACAGGAAAAACTTGCCACCAGAATTATGTATACATACATGGTTTAGCTGTGAAGTCATTAAAACCAAATCACACCTATTTGGAAAGATCTACTAGACTTTAAACATGTAAAGAAAGAAACTGGAAGTAAATGGGAATATACATTTAATATTCTCATAACTGATACCAGTGACTGATCAGGGTTTTATCCAGATTTACATTTGCATAATTCATCAATATGTTATAGAAAGGTCAATGTCTGCAAAGTTCCTATACATTATTCACCGATGAGGCAATTCTCAGTTTAGAAAGTTTTCACTCCTGCTTATTAAAAACCTATATTTGAAATACTAAAAATATTGCTTCTATGAAGTTTTTTCACAACTATGATCTACAGAAACCTACAATAGTTTCACCTATTTTGTTATAATAGTGTAAAGTACATTTTCAATTTACAATAATTTTGTGAGATATTGTTAATATCCTCAGTTTCTAAATGAGGAAACAAGAGTACCTAAGGATTAAGTACGTTTACCTAAAGTCACACAACTGTTAAGTGGTGGGTGGGGATTTGAATCCATGCACTTTGATTCCAAAATTCATGCTTTTATCAATTAGCCTATACAGGCTACCACTATTTTGCTACCTCCTTTTGCACACTCAAGAACACATTATTTGGACTCTCATTTAGCATTTAGGGTTTTATGTCTGCCTTTCCAAATATACTGTGGGTTCCTTTGGACCTTTATATTCTCTAAACCAATCATGGTAACCTAAAGATATATGCCTTAATCCCCAAACAAACATGTTTGAATACAGTAATTATGTAATATAGGTCTTAAACATTTTACTAGTGAGTGCTGGCCTTTCCTCACCTCTGAAAAAATTTGGCAAGCAGTTCTCTGTTCTTAGCTACTCCAGCTTTGCGTCCACAGTGGGGAAAGTTAAAATAAATTCGATAGAACTCCCTGTCTTGCAGTTCAAAGACATCTGCCAGCTGGGTACAGTCCACACCAAAACGTATCTCTGCACCTGGGAGGAAATGTAGACAGGAGGATGTCTTAAGACCTGGAATTATGGGCCTCCCTGGTGACACAAGGGTTAAGCACCGCACTATGAAGCAATCCACAGCCTCTGCAGCACGAGTTCGATCCCCGGGTGGCCAGGGAGAAAGCAACATGGCAAGGCAGACCTCTCCTGTCTCGCCCACTGCTCCCCTCAGCAGTGTATTTCAGTCAGTCTGCCTGTTCTGTTCCCCACTCTGTCTCAGGTGGCTCCTCTCACCCCCTGCATCTCTGGCCTGTACCCCAGCTCTTGCATGAATAAATAAATAACTCTTTAAAAAAAAAAAAATACCTGGATTTAGAGAAAACCTCTCCCTGACCGGAACAGTGTAAAAACACCCAAGTGTTGGAGATAGCTGGCTTTTCTGTAAAGGTTGGAGAGAGAGTGAGTACCAGATTAGAATGAAGAACTGACTAACCAGAAGGCATGTTGTAGAAAGTGTAGTAGACCTTTTTTTTATGCATACAAGAACTGGGGTGCAGGCCAGAGGTGTGGGGGGTGAGAGGATTCACCAGAGACAGAGTGGGGAACACAAAAGGCAGACTGAAATACACTGCTGAGGGGAGCAGCAGGTGAGACAGGAGAGGTCTGCTGTGCCTTGTGGGTTAGCTCCCTGGTCGGCCTGGAATCGAACTCGTGCTGCAGAGGCCGCTGATAGCACCACAATGCTGTACTTAACCCCTTGCACCACCAGGGATTGCTTTGCGCAATCCCAAAGCGAGGGTCCTCACCTCTCCACCCGACCACGTTGGGTCGAACAGGCAACTGTGCGGGACTTCCTGGAGGGGCGGGGATTCGCGGAGGGGGGGCTACTCGGGGCGGGGCTTCGAAGAGGGGCGGGGCTCACAGGGCGGGGCTTCGCGGAGGGGCTTCGCTGACTCGCTACCTCGCTCACGCAGGCGCTCCAGATTCTCTCGGGTCACCGGGTCCCGGTTCGCGTCGGCCTGGCGCTGGAGGCAGGTGGCCGTCAGACTCGTGCTCAGATCCAGAGTCCTGCTCAGCGCGGCGGCGAAGGAGAAATTCCCCTCCCCAACCAACAGGAGGCGCCGAGGGCCCATAGCCTGCCCTTGCTGGCCTTCTCGGAGGCGCTCCTTTACGTCACTTCCTTGGCTAGTCTCTCCCGCCGCCCTTCGCGCGTCGCTGGCTGATGACGCTCTCCCAGGGCCGCGTTGTCTTGACAAACTAGTGTAGCGACTTCCAATGGGGAAATCAACCATGAGTACGAGAGGGACACGCACCTACCACCCTGTCCCCTCAGCCCTCAGCCCCCCGGGAAAGTGAAAGTGAGGGCCTTTTAGCCCGAGGGCGACCCTGAGGGAATTGGGCACCCTGCATGAGGTCACAAGCAGGCACTACCTCAGAGGGTCAGGTGGAACGTGAGGTGAAGTCTGACTGAAAAGCCAGGCGCGGCTGAGGAAAACGCGAAATTGGGCTGTATCCTGCACGTTCCTGTCACAAAGGATTGTGTAACAGCCTTCGTCTTGCCCGAAATGGCTACCACCGCCCGTTCTCATAACGACTCGGAATGTCGTCAGGTGCCTTTATCTCCTTCATTCGTTCAAGAAATACTGGGTGCCTGTCGTGCACCAGGCTGCCGTGACTGAGGTTAGATTTGTGGATGAACAAGATGTGCCTGTGGCTTCACTGAGCTGGAGTGCGGTGGCGACTGCACAGCTGAAGAGAGGCATTCTCATAGGGAGGGATGGGGGCTATGAATGGAGTTATTCAGGATGCTGTGGGAAAACACAGAATGGGAACCTTACCAGATTTGAGGTGAAGTAGAAAACTGGGTGAAGTAAATTTTAGTTGAAAGCTAAGGAATGGGGCTGGGGGAGAGAAGTACATCTTACTGTGTCAATAGGAATGAAGAGGTGGGAGGAACAATATGAAAAAACCCGCTAGGTAGGGCCTCCCCGGTAGCGCAGCGGTTGAGCGCTGGGTTGCGAAGCTGCCGGAAGCCTCTGCAGCGCCGGTTCGATCCCCGGCTGCTCCCCGGCCACCAGAGGAGGGTCCCGCATGGCGCGCAGACCTCTCCTGCCGCCCGCTGCTCCCCTCAGCAGTGTACTTCGGTCCTTCTGCCTGCTCTGCTCCCCGCTCTGGCTCTGGTGAATTCTCTCACCCTCCCGCGCTTCTGACTGTACCCAGTGCATGTATAAACAAAAAACAAACAAATAAATAAATAAAACATGCCTCTATTAAAAAAAAACAAACCCGCTGGGCAAACAATAATTGAGCTGAGCTGAGATGCAGTTGGAAGGGAGAGTGAGTACCAGATGAGACTGAAGAACTAAGCAGGAGGCATGTTGTAGAAAGTGTTGTAAGCCTTTTTTTAATGCATACAAGAACTGGGGTGCAGGCCAGAGGTGTGGGGAGTGAGAGGATTCACCAGAGACAGAATGGGGAATAGAACAAGCAGATTAACTGAAATACACTGCTGAGGGGAGCAGCAGGGAAGACAGGACAGGTCCGCTGCACCATGTGGGTTAGCTCCCTAGTTGGCCTGGAATCAAACTCGTGCTTCAGAGGCGGCTGATAGCATCACAATGCTGTGCTTAGCCCCTTGCACCACCAGGGAGGCCCTGTAAGCCATTTTAACAGCATGAACTTTATTGTGAAAACAATAGCCCCTGAAAGATTTTAAATAGGAAAATTACACAATCTGATTTTCATTTTCGAAAGTTCTGCCTAAATGAAGAAAGAATTGGAGAACACAGCTGATGACAAGGGGATCAAATAGGAGGCTACAGAATGGAGACGAGGACTGATAATAATCTGAATTAGAACTTGGCAGTGGGATGCAAGGTAGTGGAGTGATTAAAAAAAATCAGCACGACCTAGTGATTGGCTAGATACACAAATCAGAGTTAAAGATAAGTCCTAGTTTTTGAGCTTGGACCACTGAGTGGATGGTGTCACCTGGGCCTGGAGTCTGAATACTAAAGCTGTTAGACTTTGTAGCACCAGCTACTCTTTAGTCATATGCTGTTTGTTGACATCAGTGCATACATCTATCTTCACAAAGACACATGAGGTGTAGGTAGTTACCTTTACAACTACAGTAGTGCTTTGTCCCTACTGTGGAAAGGTGGGTGGGTAGTGACTCTCATATCATGTCCACTTGTCCTTGGTGATCTGGGTGGTCTCCATTCTCTTTGCTTGAAGAACTGTGAAGTCCAGGTTTGGTGATATCTCTTCCTTTAAAGAACATGGAACAGCTGAGTAAGGTTTTCTCTCTCTGCTCTCTAAACCCTTCGTTCAACATAAACGGCTCAAGATCAGAGTCCTGTTCTACAGGGAAGGTATTGTCTTGCTCCTAGGGCAAAAGACCCACATATTGGCCCAAAATAAAAATGTTTAGACTTTTGATTCCTTACCCAATAAAGTGAAATTCAGGTGAAATTGATCATCTGAAAGTGTAGAGCACTGCTTGTTGATAGAAAGAGCAGGCATAAGTAGAGACTGTGATAATGATTAAGACAGAATCCTGTCTTCAAGAGGTGTATAGTTCAGTATAGGAGATTTGACATATTTAAAGAATTCTAACATGATAGAAAGTTATAAATACAGAAAGACATGAAAGTAAAGTTCTGTGTGAGACAAAACAATTATATCTACTTTTAGTTAAGGGAAGACATTTGGGAAGAAGTGGCATTTGAGTGGAGCCTACAAGGAAGGAAACTATCATTTGTTGATCACTTACTGTATTATCTAGTTACCCAACTCTCCCTTATCTTTAGTCTCCCTTATCTTTAGTTCTAGATTATAGAACTCCCAGTTCTTAAATAACCAAATTTCAAAATTAGCCAAACATTTAGTTTTTCATAAAATATTGGGAGTTTTTCTGTCTTTGGGGGAGGTGAGGTAGGGACATGTAATTTACATAGGCATTTGCTTCGGGTGACCCAGAGGATAAGTCAAAGGATTCATGAATCCAGAGAAAAAGAAACAGCTCTGATTAAATTGGGAGGAAAGCCTAGATCCTTAGTAAGATGCATTTATGAAGTGCTTTATTGAAGGTAAGAAACAGATGCCTTTTCTGCTATCTGGTTTGTGTAACAAAGTTTTCACTTTTTGCTTTTTCCCAGCTACAGTCCCTGGTCTGCTACCTTGTACACCCACACTATGGCAGCCTCATTAATGCAGATGGCCATGGCGAAGTTTGGACAGATTGGAATAATATGTCCAAGTTTTTTCAGTATGGATGGAGATGCACTACTAATGAGAATGCCTATTCTAACCGCACCCTAATGGGCAACTGGAACCAGGAAAGATATGACCTAAGGCATATCGTGCAGCCTAAACCATTGCCTTCGCAGGTAAGCTAACTTTACATTTGTTTCTTTCTGTTAGCAAAAGAAATACCAGGTATCAGCTCAGTGAGCTGGTTCAGGAAAGGTCCTAGATAAACATAATAAAAAATGTGAAAGTTAGTGGGATATAAGCAAGTGACAGACCTCTAGTCAATCTAAATATTATATGACAGAACCTGTTAGAATTTGTTAGTGTGTGTTTTATTTCCTAATATTAGCTATGGATGCCTATATTTTTAATTTATTACTTTTTCCTCCAGTTTGGACACTACTTTGAAACAACATATGATACAAGCTACAACTGCAAAATGCCAATTTCAACCCATAGTAGGTGGACTACTCTTCTCAATTCTTAAATTCTCAGGACCTAACTCAGTGTCTGCAACAGAGAAAGACATTTTTTTTTAAAGTATACTGAATGAGTAAATAAGTGAGTGAACGAGTGAACAATTTCTCTCTCTTCTCAATTTTGACAGGACTCACTGTCTGTCCCCTTAGAATTGTGAGATCAGTTAATAGTACTCCTTGTTGTTGACTGATTCTATCTGTCTTTCCCTCTCTTTTATCTTTCCTCAGGATTTCAGCGAGAGCCTCACTGGTTCCCAGGACATCAACCTGAGCTGGATCCTCCTCAATACAAATGCACAGGAAAGTCAACTTATATGACTAGCTATTCAAAGCCTCAAATTGGACAGCGGTCTCTGTGTGGGTGGAATTCTAATAGCTGCCAATTTCAGGGTCCAGGATTCTAAGTAAGAATAAGAAGCTCATTTTTCCAGAGTAGAATGTAGGAGGGAGCACATTCTAGAAGCACAACTAAAAAATTAGCTGACTGAGAAACAGCTCCTAATAAAAAGCAAAAGGAAAAAAAAAAACATGGAAAATGGTCTCTGCCTTTTTTTTTTAATTTTAACAAATACTTAAATGTCCATTTTAATTATATCTACATTTAGTTCTACATTAGAAGTATTGCAAAGGGCATTGAAAAAACTGACTCCACTCAAATCTACAACCACTCTGCTTTCCTCTGCAGAACTACAAATCCAGCATGACTTAGGTTACATTTGGCCACATGTTTTCTGGATATGAAGCTGGTTACCATCACAATGACTTTATTATGATATTAGTGAACATCCCCTCTTAAGGACTAGAAAAAAATAACTTTTTATGAATTTAAATCATACAAAAATAGTAATAGTTTAATGACTACCCATGTGCTGTTATCTAGCCTCAACAATTTTTCACCAATCTTATTTACCCCTATCTACTTTTTCATCCTTTTTTGAATTTTGGAACATGCTTCAGAATTATGTCATTTTATCTATAAAAATTTCAGTTTATATCTCAAAAGGATAGGCCTGTTAATTTTTTAATCCCTCGCAAAAATCATTAAGGAAACTTGATCAAATAAAACTGAGTTATTAAACCTGTAGCAGTGAAGATCATCAACTTGATGCAGAATCTTGATAATGATTCAAAAGAGGGCTGTTGGGCTTCCCTGGTGAGGCAGGCCAGTTGAGCGCTGTGCTGTGAAGCTGTCGGCAGCAGCCTCTGCAGTGCCGATTGGATCCCTGCTGACCGCGGAGCAATTCACACGGAGCAATAGACCTGTCCTGTCTCGCCCCGCTGCTCCCCTCAGCAGTGTATTTCCGTCATTCTGCCTGTTCTGTTCCCTGCTCTGTCTCTGGTGAATCCTCTCACCCTCCCGTACATCTGGCCTGTACCCTGGTTCTTGTATAAATAAATAAATCTTAAACAAAAAGAGAGCTGTCAGAGCAGGGTATTTATTGGGATTTGGGATAAAGGCTTGATTGGTTTATAGGTCTTTCAAAGTGGGGACCTAATAGGGCATTGAGAAAAACTGGTGAGTAGTTTTGGGTTGGTCAACACAGGAAGAAACCGTCTAATATTGTTAAACATACCAGTATTTTCCTTTTTTAACATATCCTGTTTAAGATAACAATGTAATATATTGTACTTCTGAGCACATATTACCTCCTGAACCTTCATTGTTTTGTGTTACAGAGATAGGTATGGAATTTATGATGTATATACTAGGTAGTGAATAAGTTTCCTTTTTTATGTGGCCATTCAGCATATAAATTTTCAGTGTATAGATTATATCAACATAAATTACTAAAAAGATCATACTTTCTCCACTACTCTTCAGTACCATTTTATTTTAAAGATTTATTTATTTATGCATACACGAGATGGGGAACAGGCCAGAGATGTGGGGAGCGAGAGGATCCACCAGAGACAGAGTGGGGAACAGAATGGGAAGACTGACTGAAATACACTGCTGAGGGGAGCAGCGGGCAAGACAGGAAAGGTCTGCCTCGCCATATGGGTTTCTCCCAGGCTGGCCGGGGATCCAACTTGTGCTGCAGAGGCTGTGGATTGCTTCATAGTGCAGTGCTCAATTCCTTATGCCACCAGGGAGGCCTTCAGTACCATTTTTATTGTAAGTCAGCTGTCTTTATATTTAGGTGTGTTCTGGACTTTTTGTCGCATCTTTAATGTCATTCTTTGTCCTATCTTAGCTACAATGACTTAACAAAAGTTATGTATATTTTAGCATAATTATTAAAAAGGAAATAAATAGAATAAGATATAAAGCATAAATTTAAAATATGTGCCTATAAAACAGTATTTGTATCTCAAGGACACACACCAAAGAATTACTGGAATTAATAAGAAACAATAACTCAAATTCTAAAGTTCTAATAGTGCAATGCAGTTTCCATCAATAATCTTATGGTATCTTTTTTGTGGAATTTTACAAAGTAAGTCTAAAATTCATATGGAAATGCAAAAGGTGAAAAATAGCAAAGACACTTTTGAAGAAAAACAAGACAAAAGGATTTGATCTATTAGATATTAAGGCAGAATTATCATAATTAAGATAATTATTTTATTCTTTTTTTTTTTTAATTTATTTTATTCTTTTTGGATGATTATTTTGGACTTGCTTTCTTAATTTTCAGATTTATTCTTTGTCTAGAAATGCAGCTGATTTTTGTGTGTTGGTTTTGTATTTGCTGCAACATTGGTAAATTTGTGTATTCTATGTGGTTTTTTTTAATGAAATCATTAGGATTTTCTCCATGTATTTTGTCATCAATAAATGAGACAATTTTATTTCTTCTTTCCCAATTTGAATGCCTTTCTTTTTAGTGTTTAGTTGCTCTGACCAGAACTTCAGTAATATACTCAGTGCAAGTAGTAAAAGTGCACATTTTTGTTTCAATCCTGCTCTTAAAAAGACTTTCAGGGGCCTCCCTGGTGGCTCAACGGTTGAGCGCTGGGTTGCGAAGCTGCCTGCAGCCTCTGCAGCACCGGTTCGATCCCCAGCTGCTCCCCGGCCACCGGAGGAGGGTCCCACATGGCGCACAGACCTCTCCTGCCGCCCGCTGCTCCCCTCAGCAGTGTACTTCGGTCCTTCTGCCTGCTCTGCTCCCCGCTCTGGCTCTGGTGAATTCTCTCACCCTCCCGCGCTTCTGACTGTACCTAGTGCTTGTATAAATAAATAAATAAATAAATAAACAAACAAACAAATAAATAAATCTTTAAAAAAAAAAAAGACTCTCAGTATTATGCCATTGAGTATGATGTTAGCAGTGGGTTTTGATGTATGCTCTTCAATATATTGATGTAATTAACCTGTTGTTTCTAGTTGAGTGTTTTATATCAAGAAAAGGTGTTCAATTCTCTCAAATAATTTTTTCTGCATCAACTGAGAGTGTCATTTCCCTCCTCTTTGTTCTTTTAAGGTGCTATATTATATTGATTTTTATATCTTGTATCAACTTTGCGTTCAAGAATAAATTTCACTTGGTCATGGTGTACTCTTCATATGCTACTGAATTTGGTTTGCTAATATTTTGTTGAGGATTTTTATCAATAGTTATAAAGGATATTGACTTATAATTTTTTTTGGTAATATCTGTCTGGTTTTGTTATCAGGGTAATTAATGCTGACCTCATAGAATGAGTTAGGAAGTATTCCCTCTTTGATTTTTGGAAGAGTTTGACAAGGATTGGCATTAATTGTAAGTTAAATGTTTGGTGAATTTCATCGGTGAAGCCATCTGGTCTAGGGTTTTTCTTTGTTGGGTTGTTTTTTATTACTGATTCAATCTCTGTTGGTTATTCATAGTTTCTGTTTTTTTATTCAATTTTTTATAGATGATGTATTTCTAGGAATTAATTTCGTTTATGTTTTCCAATTTACTAGCATACAATTGTTCATAGGGACCTCCCTGGTGGCCAAGGGGTTAAGCACAGCACTGTGAAGCTATCCTCAGCCTCTGCAGCACAAGCAAGATCCCTAGCCAGGGAGGTGACCCACATGGCTCAGCAGATCTCTCCTGCCTCGCCCGCTGCTCTCCTCAGCAGTGTATTTCAGTCAGTCTGCCTGTTCTGCTCCTCACTCTCTCTGGTGAATCCTCTCACCCCCCAGCCACATACACACCTCTGGCCTGTACCCCAGTTCTTGGATGCATAAGTAAATAAATCTTTAAAAAAAAAACAACAATGGGCCTCCCCGGGTGGCGCAGTAGTTGAGTGCTGGTTCATGCTGCCGGCGAGGGTCCCACAAAAAAAAAAAAGATTTTTTTTTTTAAGATTCATTTATTTATGCATACAAGAGCTGGGGTACAGGCCAGAAGTGCAAGGGGTGAGAGGATTCACCAGAAACAGAGTGAGGAACAGAACAGGCAGACTGCTGAAATACACTGCTGAGGAGAGCAGCGGGCGAGACAGGAGAGGTCTGCTGCACCACATGGGTTGCTCCCTGGCCAGCTGGGGATTGAACTCATGCTGCAGAGGCTGCAGATTGCTTCATATTGCTGTGCTTAACTCCTTGCACCACCAGGGAGGCCCTGTTCATAGTATTTTCTTATAATTCTTTTTATTCCTGTAATATTTGTAGTGATGTCCCTCTTTTTTTCTAATTTTAGTAATGTGATTTTTCTTTTAGTCCATCTAGTTTGATTTGTCAAATTTGTAGTCTTTTTGGAATATCAACTTTTAGTTTCATTTATTTTCTCTGTTTTTCTATTGTCGTTTTATTTATCACTGCTCTAATTTTTATTATTTCTTCCTTTTTGCTAACTATGAAGTTAGGTTTTCCCTTTTCTTTTTTTCTGGTTCCTGAAGATATAAAATTAGGTTATTGATTTGAAATCTCTCTTTTTTAATATTTGTGTTTATAGCTATAAATTTCTCTCTTAGTACTACTTTCACTGCATCCCATGAATTTGGGTGTATTATGTGTTGTGTTTTCTTCTTTATTTGTCTCAAGGTACTTTCTAATTTCCCTTTGATTTTTTTCTTTAACCCAACAGTTATTTAAGCGTGTGCTATTTCATATGTAATTTTTCCACATTTCCTTCCATTATTAATTTCTAGCTTCATTTCATTGTGAAATGATACTTTGTATTATTTCAGTCTATTAAGACTTTTTTGTGGCCTAATGTATGATCTCTTTCACAGAATGTTTCATATTCACTGAGAAAATTGTATATTCTCCTGTTGACAAGTATGCTGTTCTGCCAACCCAGTGTAATTTGCTTCTCACTCCCCACTGTTAGACAAAATACAGAAAATATCCTCACATATGTCCTTTTATAGACCTATATAAATTACCCAATTGCTCAATTGATGAATCATGAGGTATGTATATATTTAAATTAACTGTTGCTTTAAAAAATAACTGCCACTCACTTATTCACTAGTAATATTGAAGTTTCCTATGTTGCCACATCCCTGCTGACATTTAGCATTAACCAGCTTTCTATTTTTTGACAAGCTGATAGGTGTGTAAAGTAGTGGATGTCAACCAGGGGTAATTTTGTGCCCAGGAAATAACTGGCATTGTTAAAGACACTTTTG